GAACAATACACATTAGGTTAAGGATAAACCCAAGAGCTTTGTCTTTTAAGGGAAAACAAAAAGTGGTCAGAGATGGCATCATTTTGTTTACTGCTAACTTTAGTGCAAGGTAGCTGTTGTCCTCCAAACTGTCTTTACTCTGTGGTAAATCACAATGAGGCGAGATTTTTTCTGTGTACAACATCTAATGTGTCTCTCGCTGTTTTGATCAAACCTCCAGGCTCTTCTCTGTGGTTTCAAGGTTTGTGCTCGTATTAGCGCTCAAAAAGTAAATAGTATTTCTACTCTCAGGCTGTGATTTAGGATCCATGTTTTTCCTCACAGTCTGCTTTTATTACAGGTTGTCATTTCAAAGACACTTTGATAGGAAACATATTTTGATGTGAATGCATAAAAAGCTTTTTCTGCATCCAGGAAAATCGTGCCTGAATTTTATTAAACCTCTGTGGTGTTGTGGATGTTTTTGCACTGTTACAATTTTTGGTCTTACCGAGGTCCAAAGAGGAGATGTTAACTGCATATAAATTAAGTATGATAGTGTTCTTTGTCTGTTGCATTGTCTCACTTTGAGTTGCACAGAGCAACTTAACATTTTAGCCATGCAGATGGTATCAGTTCGAGACACAAAGTTTTATATCAACTCATAAAACAACTCATTCTTTAAATATGAATATCTTTGCAGTGTTTTCCATAGAACAAAGCAGCTTTCCCTTATAATATTGTTGTCCTTATGCAGGTCACATTTTAGAAGACCTAGATTTTAGCCACCCCAGTGGTGGAAAACTGTTTCCGAATCAAGCCAAAACTCTTCAGCATGCAGCAAAGGTCTGGCGGCTTTCAATCTCAACTAGGTCACTGTGAGGAAAAAATAGCATCCTTGTTGTCAGCGCCACTCACCTGTTGCTTCTTTTGCCACTTGAAGGAATATCTCTCCAAAAGTCGGCTGAGAGCAGGTCAGGCCAACCTTGAGCTGTGAGAAATGATCGAGGAAAGAAGGAGAGTGGTTTGCAAAATTGAGGACATAATGGTTGCTAGGTTTCATGCTAAATGAAGAGGATGCCAGTTGTTGGAACAGGAGTGAGGCACGTCTTCCATAGTTGACTCAGTGGGTACAGTTTGCTGTCCTTTAGACTTTAACCCTTGATGAACTTGCACATTACACTTTCTTTTTGGTCAGTTTTTATCACAGAGAAGTGAAGAAGCACTAATGTTGGTTTTTGATGATCATAGTATCCTGGTAACTGTTTGTAACTGCCTCCTGATAACAAATCATTCTTTTAAAAGTTCACAGTCGGGCCTAAAAACTGTGCTGGTTTACTTAAAACCTGAAACAGCCCACCTTGTGAAATGAGGTGTTCACCAGTAACTCACTATGATATACTCATAAACACACATTATGTGCATCCTTGCTTTTAGTACATTTTTAATGCTGTCTTTATGCAAATATGTTTTAATTTACCACCAAGTTTTCACCCTGACTTGCTTTTCATACGACTTTGCTTTCAAAATTGGAAAATTAAAGCAAACACCCCCAAATATCACACGGATAATTTAAATTCCTGACGTTTTGTAAACCACTGAGAAATGTTATCCCACCTACCTCAGGGTCTCAGACATCTTCGTACATACCTATGAGATTAAGCCATGCCCTTGATGACTGGATTTTCTTTTGAAATATCTTTGCTGTATTTTCTGGCTACTATTTGTCATCATCAAACCAGTTTTTTCTGATTTACTGATCCTTGACAGCCCAGGCTTCAAAGCACTGTAATATTTTAAGGAAGAACAGAATTTTAAATGTTAAAAGACAGGCCAATGAGCAAACTTTCCCTGTATGTGTCAGGGTTTTAACAGGAAACTGGGCGGCTCTTAATTTGACCTTATTGTGGAGACCAGACATTTTTCTGCAGCGCCAACAGAAACAGAATTCAAAGCAGTCACTCTGCGATAGGAGGAATTTGGTCAGATGGTTGCAAAGATCAGGCAGCAGAGGGAGAAAGAGAGCGAAATGTGTGCTCAACAGCTGTCGAGCAGTTTCTTCCCCCTGTTGGCTTTTTGTTGGTGTGCTGATGCTCTCTGCTGGATGAAAATTATAACTACACCAAGAGACGGAGAGGTGAAAACAAAGAAAGGCAGTGAATGCAGAGCACAAACACTTTGTTGTTTTGAATTCACAATATATATATATGTATCACCCTGGCACCAATTACAAATTACAAAACAGGGCTTGACTGAACAGACAGAATACACATTGAGTCAACTCTGTGTAAGCAAAAAGTAAAACATGAGGAAGGTAGATTTAAAAATGTAAGAGAGCTAAATTAAACTAAACTTTCTTTGTCTTTGAAAAATGACTTCATCATGCTGTGTATGTGTTGTTAATGTTGTGTCAAGCTCCATACTTCTGTGTAATTATTTTCATCTTGAGAGCGTGGCTTTGTGTCATTTGATATTTAAAGGATATAAATCAAGTTACACCCATGACAAACAGAAAATAAATGCACAAGGACCCCCCCACACTTTGACCTTTTCCTTTGTTTTCTCCCTCAACAGTAACTGTATAAATCACTAGATAAGACTAGATTTTGTGAGTTGATAGCGTAAGGAAAAACAAGCTTAATAAGTAGAATCGAGAAGTTTAAAATCAAAGTTTACTCTAAAACAAACATGAAATATGACAGAAACCATTGCTTAGATGTTAACTACAGTGAAGAGGGATCTTTTCTTTAACAGGAGCAGTATGTCTGTGTTCACTCTACCAGCTTTTTATGTAAACAAACTGAAACTGTCTCTGTTCCTCCTAGCAAAACTGCTTCAAAAAGTTTACAACAAGCTACTACAAGTACCTTTCAGCTTTGATCGGACTCTGCTGGGTCTTCACTACTGTAGTTAGTTAACCACCTGAGCAAATGTGGCCTCATATTAACAGGTGGTTTTCAACCAAGCTGCTGTCTTCTGTTATTTTCACTCCATCTTTAACTTCATTAATTTGACCCCCTCTGTCAGCACAAGCCCTCCAACGCCGACAGCAGAGGAGCTTCAGAGTGACCTTTCACTGTATGCGTGTTGTGTTTGTTGATGTTCAGATAGTTCAGTCTTGTATGGTGGCTAAAAACCACATTTATTTATTTATTTTTTACATCTGTGCTTCAAATTCCCTTGGATTGTTCTCACTATCTTTGGAGATTGTTTTGATTTAGGTCTCTACAGCCTCATTAACATACTCCATACTCCAAGAATGGATATAAATAAAATCACATCACTTCGCACCTTGAGTCTAGTTATAACTATGAATGGAAATCAAGATAATTCAGGCAGTCAGAGTTGATACCCAGCCCTAACTAGAATAATAAAAAAAAAAAAACGGATTCACTAAAGTTCAAATATGTCAATCAGGTCTGTCATAGAGATTTCTATAAGAACCAGATGATCATTGGTGCCAAATTTGAATTGGCCGGTCGTATAAGAGTGAAATGATCTTAAAGGTTTGACTCTGATTGATCTATCCTGCACTGAACTGTATTCTCATGAGCATAACATCTGCTTTCTGCATGGGTATTTGAGTGCCTTTTGCTTTGTTTTGTTTTGCAAGAACATTGACACTACATGTTCCGCATAGTTGCAGGTCAATAAAAATATCTGGTGTTGTCCTCTTGAAATCACTCATCCAACTAATGTTCTTACATAAAATATGTTGGATATGTTTCAAATAAATGGAATAATTAGATAACAAGTGTGCAGATATATCTCTTATCAGTCATAAATGTAAAATATGAACTAATACAGTTCTCTGTTTCAAGTCAGCCAATTGACTTCAGCGAAAGAAACAAAACAGACAAACTACACACACGTGACACAAGCATGCCGACCACGTTATTTATAAGTCAAGAAGTTGGCGTGAAATAAAAGCCCATTGAAATATGAGTGTAGAAAGTACCATATGTAAAATAATAATTATTAAATGAGCTTTAATTATTGCTATCCCCCCCTCACCCCCCACCAAGTTTTAAGCCACTTACAAATCCACTAAAAATTTTGTTGATTAATTTGCAAGATTAGTAATGAATTTATTAAGAATAATTATTATATGTTTTTGTTATCTGAATGACTGAATATCCATTCATAGAGGTTTTAATTGAGACAACAGAGCAATACAGGTAATATAAAAACAGGTGAGGACAAAGCACAAACTGGTTTTAATGTTTTTTTGTTTTTTTTGAATGACATATCAGAGGTAAATGCTGACTAACTGAGGGTAGCAATGCTAAATTGCCTTTGACTTCTTTAGTTAGTAAGCCTACATATTAATGGCTGCAGCATCATACTGTTGTTCCAGTATAATTATGCTATTGTCAACTAAGGATCTTTCAACCCCAACCATATGGAGTCCTATTTCTCTCAATAAATGTATTATAGATACTAAATCATACGAACTGACATGTTAAAAACTGGTTTTGTAGCGATTTAGGCCATTAACAACTTTTAGAAACAAAAACGAAACTATTTCAAAAGAGAAAAAAAGAGTGTTAATTCTCAGAGTGGGGTTTTGAATTCAAAATATGTTGGTCAACCAAAACCTTTCCCTTGACAAGTACTAGAGAACATACTGCATGTGGAGGCTGCTGCAACAAACATCAGCGGCGTTTCCTGTCACTTTCAGTTCATGTTAACTTTTGGCTATTGCACACACTAAACAAATTAAAAACTTTGTAACAGTGAAGAGGGGGCTGGGTATTCATTTCTATTATGACAAGAAAGGGTTGGAACACTTGGTAAGCATGTGAATAAATCCTGGTATAAGTTCAAAGATGGTTTAAGGCATAAGCTTTTATCTTAATTAAATACTCTCGTGTGTTGTTAAGGAAGAGCTGCTGTTAAAAGTACGCTGTAATAAACGTTAGAAGCTCACGTGAGAGTTTTTTCCTCTGCGTATTTTCCAGCCCCTTTTTTTCACCGTGTAACTTCATAGTCGGCCAACCTTTTTTTCTGTCTTCCCAGACTTTTTTCCTTTTTCTTTCTTTTCTTTTTTTTTCTCATGTAGGCTAATATACAGGCCGGCGCTGCAATTTCGGAATCTGCCCTTGTATATGGCGGACGAAATTTCCACAGGAGGAACCGCAACACAAACCCCGTATGCACGGCACAAACGGAAAGCCTGCACGGAGACAGAAAAGCTCGGCAAATTCATTAATCATCACGCCATTACTCTATCTAAAATGTAACGTAGCGTGTCTCGGAGGCGAAATAACCCACTGTGGTGGAAATTTTTTCAACATTTGGAATTTCTCATAACTAATTCACAATTTTTTTTTTGAGGAAGCAGTTGTGCAGTCACCTCTGCGCGAGGAGGGAAGATTTTCTGGAGCGCGAGCCCGTTTCGCATGAGCTGCATCGTTTTTGGAGGTATGTCACACCGATGTGTTTTCTTTTTTCTCATTTAGAAATCCTAAATTTGTGAAATTTCAGCAGTCCAGTGTTAAGTTTCGGTCTCCGTTCACTTAAAAGGCGATAAGCTGGCAGTGTTTTTCACTCCTGCCTGACACTCAACCAGGTGCAGGCTTTGAAGCCATCCGAAATGGACCTAATCTGTTGATGTTTTTTGGCTGAATTTTCCCTAATGAAGTTTTCCGTGTAACTGCTGACTAGTCGCCCGTCTGTGCACCTAGTTTGTTCACATTTACACCACCCAGGCTGAACGCTGGATACGCCGATAGGGCAAAAGGGGGGACCAGGCGGTAGTGGCAACATGAAGGACGATGAGGGGAGGAACAATCTGAAACACAAAAACCTCCTGCAGCCATGTTTTGTGAATTTTCCAGCAAATTTGAGCAGAGCTTCGGAGTTGCCTCCTCTCAAACTCACACAGCAGTAACGCGACTTTTTGCTTGAATGTGACGGCTCGGTTTGCAGTGAAGGCAGCGATCAGGAAACGTGAAAGTGCAGTGTCGAAATATATCTTGAATTTATTTATTTTTTAGGAAGATAGAGGATTTAAAATCAGGGTACCCTTGGCGCCACCTGTAGGCAGACATTTTTTGGAAATTAAAAAAAATTGTAATGAGAATTGTTTCGAGACTTATTTTTCAGAACATTATGTTTGCATATGCAGATGGAGACGCGTTGTGTTACCTCTTTAGTATATTGATTTTATCGGTGCATGGTTGATTTTGAGACAGATGAATGGCATATGCTTTGTTTTTTGTGATTTTGAATGCCAAGATGGTTGTTTCCTCCTTTTGATTTTGTTCATGACTAATGTTTCCAACTTTAACTACTCTGAAACTGCTGATTATTTGGGAATCTTTTCATGCACCTTAGAGATAAAGAGAAAATAAAAAAGCATCCATGCTCAATCTTTTCACTCTGACATACACATTTGCATTTATTCCATGAGTGCCCTGCCCCTTATGTGTGCATGTGAATTTATGTGTTAAGATGACTACATGGAGATATAATTTTGCTGTAAACACTGTACAAATTGGATTTTTAACTTCTAGAGACTGGAAAATGTGTAAGCGGAAAATAACTATCAAGGGTGAAGTGAACAGCTCTGGAAGAAGAAAGGACCATGTCAGCATAATTTGAGGGCAGGAAAAACAATCACAACCAGCGTCTCATCTGTTTATATTAATCCTGCAGACGCCAAACAGTTTCCCATCTTGCTCTGCTTGCTTTTATTTAATGTAAGGGAAAACTGCGAAGGCCATCTTTTTTTGTTTTAATGCTGTGGGTAATTTTAATGCTGACCTTCAAATCTGTTTAAATTCAAAGAGCCAGTGGAAATTGTGTGGTTGGTATGCAAAATCTGGGTGTAAATTCTGACCTTTGCTGGGAAAGTCTCATCAAAATGCAGGAGTTTGAGTTAAAGCACAGGGATGAAGAAAGGCAACCAGTGTCATGGGTTTAATAGGGTTCTGCCAGTGATGGGGATGTTTATATGCAGAATACCTGAAGGACCGAGTAATAACTTATAAATCTCTCAGGAATTATGCAGCAGTGTTGAAATGAAAAACACCTTAAATCCTGATCAGTTAATGGGGACTTTGTTGAGGGTTCTTCTCATTTTAAGTAAGGTAACAGGAATGCAGCTCTGCCTGTACTTTAATGAACAAAAGCTTTGTTTCATGCAGGAATTTTGGAGCAAATAGTTTGGATAGAGGGGTGAAACTTGTCCCTTCAGGCTCCGATAAACACAAGATGTTAAGGGATCATATCCCTGTCTGTGGGCTTCAGGATTAAAACAATGTTCTGTTGCTGCTCTGATTGTCATTAACTTAGCAGAGAGGTTTTGTTTCCATTTTAAAGGCTAAGTGATGTTACACAAACAGTTTCAGTCTTTGATGTTATCCCACTTCCCTTTTCCTTAATGCACAATTACAGATTCATGATTTGGTCTCAGATGTGTCTGGAGAAAACATACATCCCTTTTAGACATGGCGCACATCTTATCTTCTGCTACTTTCTTAGTGGCGTGTTCAAACTGTCTGAAAATGGCTTCACTTAAATTAGTCTCCAGGGAACGGCTTTTCAGAGGTTGGGGCTGCTGCATTAAAGAAAAAAAAATCTGTGCATTCTGCACATATTTTTCCTGCCTCTTCCTTTTTAAAAATGAACCTTATTGGTTCCATGAATAATGCATGAGGACGTTCAATTGCTGCAGCAATGAAAATTAGGGCTGTTTACGTGCAGTGGTTATGTACACAGAGGCTTCTTTTTTTACCTTGACCATTTTCTGAAAGGTAGAGCAGAGCCTGAGTAGCTTTTCTGAAAACACAAATTTTCAGCAAAGCAAATCTCATTTCTCTGAGTGAAAGGGGAGGGGGTGAAACTCCCTTGGGTTTAATGAATCCATAAATCACAATAGTGCCAGGTTTGCTGCGCCTGCGTCAGTGTGCAGTGCAATTTTGATTTTCATCAAAAATTTAATCTGCCAGCCTACAAGGGTTTAGCAGCAGACCGGATGCCGCCCTGAATTTCTAATTTTAGGGGCCTGATCTTTCAGGATTTATTTTTGTATAATTCAAGTCTGCTTTTCAATATCTCTTGTTATTAAATTTTAATTCGTGGCATTAACATATAGATTGAAAAGGTTTTTATGGGGGTTTTGAGTGTATGCTGATGGAATTTTACTAGACGACACAGTTTCTTTTTCCAGAGCATCCCGGATGTGTGTATGTGTGTGTATATGTGTGTGTGAGAGGTGAGGTGGGGTGGGGTGGTGGGGGGGATTTATCCATTTCTCTGCATTATTGCTTTTTGAAATCATTGGTCGTACACCATCTTGGAAGACATTTATTACAGAGGACGAGAAAATGTGCATTTGATTAAAGAAACAGGGAAAGCAAAGCATTTAGTGTGAAACAGGTTTTGCAGGACCCTTGCTCTCAGTCACTGACTCTGCTCTGAGTTATACAAACATGCAGTGAAAGCAGTGATTGAAGTGACCCCCTCCATCCCCCATTTTAGCTCATTCCTATTTTTAATCCCTCCAGAGTGGAAACATTTCCATGAGCCTTAAACAAATTTGTATTTTATATTTGGAATCTCTATTCCAGCCCTCTTAGCATGCAGAGCACAGTGACTTTTTGGCAGTGCAAGGTACAATTCAAAGTCACAAAATCTCTCTAACTTGGAAGAAAAGATTTTTTGTTTTTTCTTTGCTCTAACCAAGCACAGTGATTGATTTACTTCATTATTGTGCGGAGGCAGATACAGCACTGCCCAAATATAGGCCAATTATTTTAAGTACCTCGACTAAGCGCTGAATTGTGAGCTGAGGTACGTCCTGGAGATGTTTCCTTGTGCGCCTAACCTCCTTATTCTCTAACCCCTTGTAAATTTAGTGCAGGGATTTAATACATTGTCGTAAATATGCATGCATTGACATTTAAAACACAGCAGGGCCAGATCACAAAGAGAAAGCTAGTTTAGTAAATTGACAAAACACGGGGCCTCTTAAATAATCTTACTTATCATTATAGTTTTAAATCTTTAATATGGAAATGGACTTGCTTTAACTTAATATCCTGGTTCTCTTGCATGTTTATCTCTTTATGTTTATTTTAGGTTGTGCTTTTATTTTCAGGAACATCAAGCGAGTGTACATCTGTTTTAGATTTTCTTCATGCATGGGGGCTGTAGGTTAGAGTCTATCAGAAGGCGCAGACTTAAAAAGAACGGAAGGCCAGATGGCTAATTTTGCATTTTGACTTTAATTAGAGGAAAACAGGCCACAACAGGCATTTCATATATACAGGGCATGCATTTAAAACATTACACAGGAAATATTACACTATCAATAAGGGATTGATCTAATTTTGATCTTTCCCTGCCATTATTTTATCTGATTAGAGATGATAAAAGTCACTTAATGTTGGCATTATTTTAGTCAGATAATTTGATGTGAAAAAACACAGGCATAAAAATAGGTGACATATCTGCCTGTTTCATCTCAGCCAATCGATCTTCTTACAGCTGCTAGAAGCAGCTTATGAACTTCTCTAACCTCACACAAACTCGAATGTGTTCATGCCAGGCTTCAGTTTATGGACTGGCTCATGTCACCCACAAATTGAGAAACTTTGTAAGTATATAAATAGCAGTTGGTGCTAACAGAAAACTTCCTGCACTTCTTTCACAATGAGTGCAAAAGTTTTTGAGGAGATGTCAAAAACAAACATTGGGAAATTCCTCTTGATTCTTTCTCTAACTACCACTCTGCTGCAAGACAACAGTTTGGACTAGACGAAATGCTGTCATGGATACCTGAAGTATAGATGTACACACACACACATTGAGCCCCTTTTATAATACAATGACTTCAGCAGCTGAACTGTTCCAAGTCATTACTCTGATTGCAGATATCTAAAACTGCATGTTACCTGTCATTGTTCCAAAGACAAATATTATGATGACATTTTTATGAGTCACTGTAGTTTTAATATTGGAGATAATTTTTCATTTTGCATAACTATCCAAAGTTAGAAATCTGACTGTTATCATGTGTTTTATAGATGTCAGAAATGAAAGTTTTCCCTTGGAAGAGTTTTATCTACGTTGAAACTGGATGTAGATACGCACACACACACACGGCAAAAGTACCGTAATTTGACCTGAGTGGAATGTTATTGTGGATATCTAACATGTTTGTTTTGGCTTGGAGGAATTGAATCACAGATTTCTGTAATAAATATCCTCTCTCACAGATATTTAGAAACAGGTTTCCATATGATACAGCATTTTGGATAGAGGAACTACATTTATGCACAATACTTACAAGAAGCTAATGTTAAATCTTTGGGTAAAGGTGAGTTCATTATCCAAAATGATCTTTTTACGAGACAAAATATATTGTATAATACTCAAAATGACAGAATAGACATATATGGAATCATTTATTTTTAAATTTGGTTATTGAAAATTGAAATAGTAAGTGATGAATGGAAAGAGTATGGTCTGGAGTCCAGCTCTATTGGCCCACAGTTCTGTAACACAACACGGTTCATGTATCAGTCCACTACTCTAAAGTTCTAACCGCTCCATCACATGAAAGTCTGTTCAAAGGTTGTTGGTCAACCTCTTCAGAGACTCCGTGAATCAGGCTACAACAAAAACATGCTAAGGCTGGTTAACAACATGGTCACTAACCCTAACCACGCTCGCAACAGTGAACTTATACCATCAAATTGTTTTAATAAGGTCAGACTGAAGCTCTCTTTTGTACGCCAGTCCATTACCAAGGTGAATATGGAGCCGAATCTGAGATCAAAAGTACTTTGCATATGCTGTCTGGTGTTCGTCACATGTTCATTCATGTATCTTGTCTTGTTTTACATGGAGCTGTCGTGATGCAAGTCAAATTTCAGACTCCGGCAGTAAAGTCATGCTGGTTGTTGGTTGGAAAAATGTCGTTGTTCATATCAGATATGCTCATTTTCCTACCTGGAAGAATTCAAATGTAGATACCGCTTACAAAAAAGGGGGACAAAGTGTTGATATGGTAATACATAGATGTCCCAATGGTATGGTATGGAACTATAAATGACCCATTTTATGTTTATTGATCTGCCACTTACAGATCTGAAGTTAAATTTTCTTTAGTTTAATTTAGTTTTTGATTTCTTGCACACAAAGTTCTACTTGTAAGAATGTAGTTTGGTAAATTCAAGCTTGGGAAAGTCTCACTGTTATGCAAAAGTAGCAGCTCTGCAGTAAAGATGTTCTGTGACTGATATCACACAAACATAACAGTCCTATACTAATCAGCAGTATTTAGGCAGCATGCTATGGATGTAGTCAGTTAAGTTAGTTTAATGCACTTTTTAAAGAGTCTATCGTGGTGAAGGCTCTCCATAAAGGTCTAAAGGTAAAACTGAATGACTTTGAGATCAAAAATGAAACAGGAAAGAAATAAAAAGAGGGTTCAGCAAAACAAAATCTGTTTCTGATGAAGAAAAAAAAATCTCTGATCTTTGCTTTGGGGTAGAATAATGTATAATTTTACCTCTTTTTGCTTCAAACAGTTATTTAAATGAAACCATGTGGGAGGTTTAGAGGGGAAGCGTCCCTTAACGTGGCCCAGGCTCTTTCAACCACACTATGTTTTTTTGTAGGGAGACCATTTTATCTTGAACATGGCATTATAGACCCATCATATTACTTCTTAATATACACTGAATCTAAGGAATAACTAGTTATTATTGAATGGAAGATATCATGAGGCTCATTTAATATTCTTATATAAAGGGTTTGTGTCAAAAATGTTGAAGAATTAGATCAAAATGCTTCTTGGCAATCCACTAAATAGTCCCAGAACACCTTTAGTTGCACCTTAACTCAAACAAGCTCTCTTTAAACTGGTTTCATTAACATGAAGTGAATAAAAGAGTCTTGGCTTAGCCTCTTGTGTTAATAATTTATAAACTAATGATAAATGCATCAAAGTGAAGAGTCACCATCTTCATGCTGTCTCCATTTATTTTGGCTGCCATTTAAGCTGACAGAAGGCCTTTACCCCATCATTCATGGAAGAACAATGATGACATGCCGCTTTTGGTGTGCATGGGGGATTACACTTGTCAGACTTGGAGGTTTTTTTGTTTTTTTTAGCTGGAGTAAATTCTGCCATAAAAGTGCCAAATGCTGCTGTTGTCAGCTTTGAAACTGCTCTCTTTAGGCTACATTTTGGAAAAATATGGAGACTCAGTAACCTCGCTTTATTGTAATTTTTGACACAGCATTGTCAGCAATATGAAGGATATAAAAAACAAGGTGCTCAAACTGGTTAAAGTCCATGTACTGGGGTGAAGTGGTTCACTTCTTCCCCTGAAGATCATAAAAGAGGCTGTGTAGGAAAAATTTCAATCTCCTTGATCAGCAAAGCTTAACCACTAATGTGCAAATATTGTACGTCTTTCCAGAATCCTGAAAATCTGATCCCTGTCTCTTACAGGTGCTCTTAATTTTGTGTGAATCAGTATTATTTTCCCCAGTGGTTTTAACCCTGCATGGTGCTGCTGTGAGTCTTTTATGGAGCTCATCAAATTCATTGTATTTAACAAAAACTGAATGATACCGAGCGTGTTTGGAGTCACGCTGTGATAGTGGACCAGCAGAGCTTAATTTTTTGTGTGTTTTATTGTACCCGTTTAAAGGAAATTAATTAGAAAGGAGGAGAGAACATGCACTTAGTTACTGCTTCTGATTTCAGTTTGAAACATTTATCTTGGCTCACAGTGGATATAACTTATTTAAAGCTGTTTTGAACTGCAATATAGTCGGTTTTAAAAATGCCAACTGTTACAGACGGTTCAGCAGGAAAATGGAAAGCTGACCACTTAGATCATGATGATGTCACTGGGATGTAAAATTTGGCACTGCCGTGTAGACAGCAAATGGGCCACTAACTTTGCTGACCCAAAATATTTCTGCACAACTGCAGATGTAAAGCCGTTTCAGTCCCTTCCCTCAGACTGCAGTTTAAATTGGGTTTAAGAATCTCTTTGTACAGCATCAACTCGACTCTGTGACAAACACAAGCTTGACAACTTCAAGATTTTCTCAGATTTCTCACTGTAGATGAAAACAATGCTGCATCCATATATCCAGCCCAAAATCTGTAAGCAGAGGAGTGAAACAGTAATACTGTGGGCACATAGTATATTCCTACCTCGGCCCGGGGGCCCGCATGGAAATAAATGTGCTGCAATAAAATACCTCTGATTTAAAGACAAGGTAGAGCAGCAAATTCACACCATTTAGAACATGGATCTACCAAATGTGGCATTTTAATTTGAGCAAAAGCCACAACCATTAAGCAATAATCAAAGTACATCATTATTTTTTTGTTAGCTGACTTGGATTTATTGACTAATCTCTACATATCAATCTTCAAGTTTCACTTTATAATAGTTAAATAATTAAATAACTAATGCTAATCATTCAGAATTTAATTTGTATATCAGGTCTGTTCACTCAGTGTATCAGGAGCCTAATACCACATTTGCCTCTTCATCCAATCCTCTTAAAGTCATACCGGTGGTGACTCAGAAAAGGAAAATAGTTCAACTTTACAAAGTTTTATAAGTGTTGGCAATCGTCACCAAAACCAGCTCTGTTGTGCAACCTAATCTGCTAACAGAGAAAAATGTGGTGCTTTTGATGTACTTCCCAAAACACATCTGAATGAGGAGGCTTTGGACTTGGAAAAGCTTGGTGTTTTAATTATAAGTGGCCAAAGTTTAAATATGCAAAAGTGAACTTTCTCGAACTACTTATTTGTGACAAGCTGCTGTTAAAAGCTTAATTAGATCAGCTGTTTAGCTTCTTGGGTTAAATGTAAAAGTAGGGACTTTTTCCTCTAACAATAACAACATTCTTCTAAAATCTCAGTTGAAACATAAAAAAAAGCTTTATAGATAACCAAATAACAGGTGAATTACTCCGCGATTTTGACCTTTCAGACAATGCGGAGAGAAAGTCATAGGTGTGAACAGCAACTTTTCACCTTTTTACCACCTTTTATAGCTTTATTGAAATTAAATTAAAAAAAAAACACCTTTTTACCCCATTACGGAAATTCAATAAAAAAACAACAACACATTTTTACGTCTTTTATGGAAATTGAATAATAATTAAAAAGTAAAAAAAAAAAAAACTCCAGCAAAATGTTGAACCTGTAAAATTCCTCTAAAAGTATGTGCTCGTGTCAGCAATATGTTTCTGAAAAGTTATCACAGGGACAACAAAATTCTATAAACAGACATGACTCTAATCATACATGGGCTATACACAGTTTTTCAATGAATGTAGTTTGAAACAGTACCATGCACATTTTGATGGTATGGGGATACAGACGTGCGCGTGGCATGGGTACCTCAAATATCTGAACAGGTCTGAACTGAGTAAACAGATGTTGTTGCAGCATATGCTGTTGCTTCTACAGTGTTGTCAAAAGAAAAAGGTAATGTAACCTAAAGTTAGATTTGCCCCGTCTCAAATGTTTTGAATCGTGTTTCTGGCCTTAAATTTCAAATGAGCATATTTTTCTATAAAACACTAACAGATCAAACAGACTGAACCTTTTTTATGCAGATTTTTTTTTTGTGACACACACACAGTGTGTCACAATTTGATACCAAACCAGACTCAAAATTCGTTGAGTCATGTCTGAGCTTGTTTCATTGCAAGACTCAACAACCAACAACCTTCAGACATGCCATGTAATGGAGCCGACAGTTGTTTTTGTGTTTCTACACACAAAGGCGAGTAATTTAACTGAAAATCTAAAGTGTTTTTATTACAACATCATTCTTTATATTCAGACCTGTTTGCTCAGGCTTCCTGGCCCCGTGTCTCTTCCAAAGACAGGTGTGTTTGGGCCATGAAAAGACTTGTTGTTGCTGTATTGGTGCGCTATTATTAGCAGACCAATTTTCCCTCTTTCCATAATATCAGTCATCCTGGCACAACTCTGTTTTGCTTGGTTGCATTTTGAGCACATTCTCTTGACAGGGCCTTTTATAGCCTTGTGCTGAAGTGGCAAGTTGTGTAATTTGGATGTTTCTGAAATTAGAGCATTTGGATGTCACAAAGCTGTGGAATTTATGCCGTCAAAGGTCACTTCTGAACAGTAAAACCACTCTGCTCTTCTTAATGGATAACAAGAAAAATTTGTCTGCTATTCCTGTCCTCAAAATGACACTCGCCCAGATAAATGGCCCATGGTGACTCCTTTGCTTTTTGAGCTCATACGACTCTGTTTTTACAGGAAGGAAAAGAGGAGGATGATTGTATCACAATTTCATTTTTAGACCCTCAGTTATCAGATTTAAGCAAATGACCACATTAATTTGGCTGCCATTTTTCTCTAAAGGTCAGAGTATGAAGCTCAGGAGCTGTTTAACAGTCTTGCGGATTAAAGGGATCTTCAAATTATTGCTGTGTCATAAAGCAATTCCTGTTTGATCAGATACTTGAAGGGGAGTGGAAAGTCCATCATTTTATGCAACTTTAAAGCAGTAGAGAAAACTGTGACATTTTGGTAGCATTTCAGCATCCTTCCCTGAGAGTGATGTCAGAAGAAAATGGCTGCCACAGAGATATTATCAACAGTTTCAGACTGCTCCGGAGTTCTTGGGTTCAAAGATAAATAAAGATCAAAGCTTAAATGTGATTTTCTTTCTCTCATATTGATGATAAATCTGTGGCAGTTTGAATACACAAACATCAGTCGCTGATAAAATGTAAATGTTGAAGGACTCTTCTGATCAAGTCAAGACTGTATATCATTTCAGGGCGGTTCAGTAAAGCCTCCGTCTCTTTCTTTTGTTTATTCTCCTGGTACAGAATCAAGGGCTCAGAGGAGGTGGAGTCATGAGTGCACAAGAGGCACCCAATCCTGGGAAGGAGAAGACTGCAGACTCTGGTAGTGCTGCCCCAGATGGACCCTCACCAACTGTAGCCCCAAAGCCTAAGAGCCCCAGTCCACCACCTGTCACAGTAAAGAAAGAGCCGGGGACCTCAGAGACGAGTAACGGGAAAGTGGGTGACATCAACCCTGCTGAGATCTGTGTCGTCTTAGGAGGAGCTGATGGAGGAGCAAGTGGAGTCAGCTCCCGTAGAGCTCAGGCCGAGGGTATCTTTGCTCTCGGTACTCCTCCTCCAACAAAGAGCACAGACTCATGCATAGGTGTGTAAAGACCTTTTGTATATTTAGACATCAGCTTTTCCTGAATGCAAACATGTTTGGTCTCTTTTTGACCCTGACTTTTTCTAACTGATTAAAAAACAGGGCAAATAAAAACTGCACAGCGTTTTTAAAAAAATGTCATTTTGAACACATTGAGCAGCAGCAGCATCTTTTTTCTGAAACAATGTCCTTGTTACTGAGATAATCCACAGACCTTGCTATAAGCCGTTTTAATTGGAACTACTTTCTACAGACAAAAAAAAATGGCCCTCATGAAATGTATTTTTTAGATGTAATTTTCCAGTCCCATAAGCACAATTGAAACTCCGTTCACTTGCATTTTGTGTAGTATTTAGCATTTGGGTTGCAGCTGAAGTTGTAAGATGGATAAAACCTGGGTGATGATTGTTTATTATGTACTGTATACTTATATTTTTCCCTAGTTGGCAATCATCTCTGTAAAACTTTCTGCATAAGTACACAAACAATTCAAATTCGTATCACTGAATTTATCCCCAAGGGGCAATTCAGTTTGAAATACATGGGTCACAGCAAAGGACTAGACATTTAACACATTCACTAAACAATACAGTACACACGCCTGTCAATGTGCAGGACAGCGGAAGGGTCCAGTCATTAAGTGCAGTAGTGGCAAGTGCAATAGTCACAATAAATAAGTGAATTTAAAAAAAGGATTTAAAAACCTAAAGAGTAAAAAACAACCATGTACACTATGCATTATCACCATAGACTGTATGTAGAATGGACGCCGTCTGCCTCCTCGCTGGGTGAAGCCACTCCAAGAACAGCACCCTCTGGTGATAGGCTGCAGTATAGGTCATAAATCCCACCTCCACCAGCAAAGCTTATGGAGCTGTGGACAAACTTTAGAAATTAATTATACAGAACATACATTTTTCTCCCCCCTGCTTGCGATGTTGACATGTAGTTATTGTAAGACTGGTTTGTGCTCAAGTCCTCTTTTTTCTGTACAGCTACGTTTTTAAAAGTTATTAGGGGGTTCATGTTTGCTAAGATTGCTACCTGATACAGCCTATGGGCGTTCTGGGATTGCGTCGCTCTCCTGGGGGTTACGCTGTTTGAGCCGAAATCAGTTGGGACTTTGGATGACAACACCTGTGGCGCTGACCGGCCCATACTCATTTTTAAAAACAGAGGTTTACAAATGCTTTGAGAAATAGTCATAAAGCACACGAGCTTCAGTACTTGAAAATAAAAACAAAAAAGCACAAATCAAGGCTTCAGAATTTGAAGGCCATTTTTTATGTCATAAGGAACCCAGACAATATAAGAACCAACATAAAACATAGCAACATAATTAAAAATTAATGCAATTAAAAAGGGTGTTGAAAGCAGAAAACAGGATCGCAATTATAAAAAGACAATATTAATAATTATAAAAAATAAGTAAATAAGCGAGATCGAACAATAAAAAAGCCAAAAAGTTTATTTAAGAAAAGATTAAAAGTGTAAATAAAAGTGAAAATGACCATCAACCCAAAACAAGATAGAGATCAAAGAGAACAAGATAAAAGATGGCATCACATCAAAGCAAGTCTGTAAAAGTGAGTTTTCAAGATTGACTTAAAAGAAGCGACTAGTTCTGCACGCTTTATCTCCTCTGGCAGGTTGTTACAAAGTCGCGCAGCTCTGAAACAGAATTCATCAACACCTTAAATTAAAACATTACTATCCTTTCTTAATCTAAAATCAAACTCCACAGCTTAGCCTGCATCATTTTCTAGCTAGCTAGAACTTGTTAGGAAGTTTCTCAGGAAGTCTTAAGCAGCAATCGAGAACATTTTGGGTGCTTAAAGTTTTTGTTGGGCACAGTTCAGCATTTCTGACAGCTCACATAATTGCAGCACAATAAACAAAGGCTTGAAAATAGAAGCTGGATTATATAGCTCATACTGACCCGTTTAAGATCTCTTGATCGGCCCTAATACCAGTCTTGGCTCCTGACTTTCATTATTCATATTACAACCAAATAATCCGATTTATGATAATTCTACACTTTTAGACAACAAAGCTGAGAAGAAACCGTAGATTTATAAGATGTAGAATTGTATGGAAAGTGACATTTAATTGGATTTTAGAGCATGACTGGCTTTGGATAATGTTTTGGTTTGGATTTTAATGCTCACCGTTGTTGTTAGAACTACTTTGGCTGGCCTACCAATAGACGTGTACTCTTTTATAATTGCAATTTTTGAATTCTCGTGCAGGTTCATATGTATGCGGGGTTTGTGGGAAGAAGTACAAGTATTACAACTGCTTTCAGACACACGTCAGAGCACACAGAGGTAAGACACTTAACCATGGACACAAAAGTATTGATTTCACTCTGGTTTTTCTTCTTTTGAAATTGAGGTCCCTGATGATTCTTTCTCGAGTATTTTGGGCGTTTGAACCGTTTTTGCATGAGAGATATTAATTTTGACGATAGATGAAAACTGCCAGAAAAAGTGAGCGTGCATTCTTCTATTCACAGATTTCTCTAAGGCTGACTATTTTTCCCCTATAGAATCAGAGAGCATGGTTGCAGATGGTCTACCCCAGACGCCCAACAGTGAGTACAGTTCTGCACACTCATTCAGTGAACACATTGAAGTTTATATGCATGCCAACACAAGCTGTTAATTCCATGCATGGCTCATTTAATTTAATAGACATCATGTTTGTGCACTTAGGCTTTTTTCATCAGTCTACTGAGTTTTTAATTGCATATAATAGACAGCAACCGGTGTACAATTTGGTCAATGCTTTCAGCTGGTATTGACCTATGAAAAACAGTTTTGAATTGGCATATCTATTGTGCCAGAATGCAAACTTTGTTTACTGAACACCAATGATTTGGTGTTTTATAAATGGTGTCATTATGATGGCTAAGTCTTCAATACTTGCAACACTGTCTGCAGCACATTAAGCAGAACGCTGAGTGGTTTGAGTAGTGTTGCGTGATCATAGCAGCACATGTTTTTCCATGTAGAAAAGATTTGACTAGAAGCCTCAGAAATTCACAAAACTGGCTGCCCTTTTGGTGTCCAGGCTTTTCTGCTAAAACTGTTATATATATCAGAAACCTCATATGTCTTTAATTCGAGAGGATTTGTCTCTAAGTGACTCAGCAGGCTCAAATCTGTATTATTTGCTCCCACTGTCCTTTGTCGCTCCCATCAGTCTTGTTTGCTCATTATAGCTGCCTTCCATGGGTGCCGTCTTATTATATAGTATCTGTAAGGCAATATCCAAGTCAACTTCATCGTTTCTGGCTCAATCATAGCCATTGTGGACACAATGTTCTCATTATCCCAAAGATATTTTGCTGATAAAATTGGCTCGGGTTACACTTTAACTGAATTATCTCGGCAGAGCCAATTTTCGACTGTGTCCTCACAGCCGAAAAATGTCACACACTGGACCCTCGCTGTCAGCAGCACCTGTCCAACTAAGGTTAACCTTAAACTATTGTAAAAAATAATAGGCTTTTTGCAGGCTTGAGTATGTTGCTCCAGTGTTTAAGGGGCCTGTATTTATCAGGCATCTTAAAAATCCCTCCCAGGAATCACAGCGAAAGTTTGATTAGGACTAAAAATACTCCTACCTCAGAGTAGTACTTGAGGGTTATTTATAAAGCTTCCTCCACGCACACCCAGCAATCATTACATGAATGTGCACATCACTTAAAGGCAGCAGTATCAACATGGCAGGAATAAAAGAAAGCAACTCTTTCACAGTAGTAATTGTTTTTAGTTGTTTTAGGAGTACAAACAGTTTTTGACTGAAAAGCCTGTGACAGTGTTAATAAGTAGGCCAGAGAGAGTGCTTGGCAAAATGCTGATAGATTAAATTCTTAGGAGGAGGGAACATGCTGTAACGCATTTTTGGTTGATGCGACATATTTAGACTTCCTTCTTGATAATGACTGGCAGGCCAATTTAAAAGTGTAATTTTAATATAATTTACGTTCATGAGACGTCCAATAGCCCTTTAAAAACGAGGCAGTGATCAAACAAAAAACAAACTGAGGCTAATTATAACTTTTTTTTTTTTTTTCCAATAAAAATTTGTCATAGTTTAATAAAGAGAGAGATTACCTTAGAAGGAAATGGTCTGCATGTCAGTGAAAGAAGATTAAAGCTGAGGTTTAAGGCAGCAAAGTAAAGATATGGCATTACTGTAACCTTGACTTTAAGCCGACTTAACTCCAGATTTGTTAGTTATGATTCATTTATAAAGCAACTTTCTCCGAATCACTGCAAGCACACACTTCTAAACCAGGGAAGGAAAAAATAAGCCAGGACAACAATAATCCTGGATTTCCAGTGATTTCTTAAGTATTTTCCAGTTAAAGAAGTAAGGGCATGAGAACATTTAAAAAAAAAAATCAGAAGACAACACATGCTGTGGTGTTGTGGGGGAGTTCTGGGAGCTGAAAGAGAGTATTTTGAGAGCTCTGCTTGAACAAACTTTGTTTAGTTCTGACTTTGTGGGTGTTGGGACCAAAAACAAACCCCTGTTTAAAGAATTGAAGGGATTTGGCAGGGCTTTGTTGCTTCAGGTATCTGTGAAATGACACATTTTTATCCAGAATTTCATGTTTGACTAAGAACACTACAGCTTGAATCACATTAAATATATTTTACTTTAATATAAGATTTTACAACTCATGCATTTTTGTACAGCCCCAACTTCAACTCTCAAAAAAAAGACGGTAGGCTGTGTGGAAAACTGAATTTAATGGTTTGCGTATAATTTCAGCTCTGTATCAAATTGAAAAAAGTGCAGAGACAACATATGAAAAATGTTCTTTTCTGAAAAATACATCCTGTTTTTAAACGTGATGCGAGTAACGCATGTCAGAAAAGTTGGGACAGTTGCATGTTTTCCATTGTATTGCATCACCTCTTCTTTTAACAACCCTCTGCAAAAATAGGCTCATTTTGAATTTGGTGCTGGCAACACATTTCAAAAAAGTTGGGACAGGGGTTTGTTTACCATTGTGTTGCATCACTTCTTCTTATAAAAACACTTTGTAAAGGTTTGGAACTGAGGACACCAGTGAAAGTATAATGTTGTCCCAGTCTAGCCTGACATAGGATGTCAGCTGCTTAACAGTTCAGGGTCTCCTTTGTTGTATTGGTTTGTTTCATGGTGTGCCAAATGTTTTCAGTGGGTGAGAAGTTAAGGCTGCAGGCAGGCAGACCACTTGAGCAACCGGATTCTCCCTCCACTGTGGACCCACACTGTAGTTTGGCATTGTTTTGCTGAAATATACCATGTTCTCCCTGAAGAGGCATTATCTAGATGGGAGTGTGTGTCACTTCTAACTTGTATATATTGTTAATGGTTCCTTCGCAAACCATCAAATCAGTTTTTCAAAACAGGTTAAATTTTGCACTGGGGGTGGGAATCACCAGTGGCCCCAGGATATGATATTATCACGATACTTGGGCGACGATACGATATTATCACGATGCCTGGGGTGACGATACGATATTATCACGATACTTGGGTGACGATACGATATAATCACGATACTTGGGCAACGATACGATCACGATACTTGGTTGACGATATGATATTATCACGATACTTGGGTGACGATACAATATCATCACAATAGTCTGGCCACGATACGATATTATCACAATACTTGGGCCACAATACGATATTATTGCGATTTTTAACATTTTGAGTATTGCGATACGATAGATTCCCCAGGTGCTGCTATATTTGTTGTAATAACTTTCTCCGGCTCTATTATGTCCCCTCTGCTGTCCTCACTGGACAAACAGTTGATTTTATTTTTCCAGTATCATAGAATTTAGTTCATATTAACAATTAATTTGAAAAAAATCGATACTTAGTCAATGAGACGATACAATATATCACCAGCCAAAATATCGCAATGCTATTCCATATCGACTTTTTCTCCCACCCCTATTTTGTACCCACCTCAGTTCCTTCCTTTGCTGCTTCAACAGAGTGGCTCTGTTTCAATGGCAGTAGGTTTTTAAAAACCTGGCTTTGTCTTAATCAAACTTTTTAGTCCAAATTTCAGCATACCTTAAGAGTTTTATTTTTTTTTCCGAGGCTAAATAAACAAAAGAGAAATACCTGAGAGAAAGCCGATTCATTCTGCTGTGAAAAAGAAAATGAATACGCCGCTTTCAGCTAATTATCAGTGTACTCCGTGATCAAAACTTGTCCTATTGATTGAGAAATCAAAGGAAAAAAAGGATGTGTGTTCAGTTTTGTGAATTTGTAAAATGTCGACTGCACTGGTATTTGAATGTAAGGTATGTCAGTATAAAATTTTATGTGGTTTTCTCCAGCCTTTTTTTAATTCTAAAACATTTCCTATTCATCCTTCAAACCCAGCGACAAAAAAGAATAAAACATCTCTGCTTGAACCTTTCGTCAAACAGCTGAATAAGAGGACATTCAAGGTTGTCAAATCTTGAACTTGACCTTGTCTTGTTGTTCCTCTTAATACAAGAAAATAAAGGAAGAAGAGCCTTGTTGCAGATTTGGCTTGTCTTTTAAGTGTCCTTGCCGTCTCTTTGACTATTTATGCGTCTCTCTATTCATTTGTGCGCTGTAACCTCTTACTATAGAGACACGTACATACAGCCATAAGCAGGGATGCATGCTGTTACTGTATGTTTAAGATATGTCTTCACTTCCAATTTTTATACTTAAAGTCAGTCAGGGACACTAATAAAGTAGATTTGAATGATTTGCAACTCAAAAAACTCCTCATTTATCCTTTACTGTAATCTGTGAAAACCCTCATTTCAGCGCTATTCAGTCTGCCTGAAATGCTCCATTTTGGCTGCTCTTTCGGTGATTTGAAGTTAGACACAGCTTGCAGGTGTTTCTTTTCACACAGGTTTGAAGTCATGAAACGACATAAGAGTTAAGACTTTACAGAAAATATGCGCATGCTAGCTCCCTTTAGCTGTACATTAATGTGCAGTTTTCTGAGACATATTGAATCAGATGCTTGGGAGCTAAATTTCCTTGTTTTCTGTTTAGTTTAATTTTTAGTGTAAGCCTTCATGCGGTGCGGGCTGGAAGATGGCTCCTATGAAACCATTTATGTTTGTTTTTTTGATGCCCCCTTGTATCACACTGGCACAATACCACTTTCAGTACTGTTATTTTGATTTATAAAGCATTGTCAGGGTCCAGTCCAGAGCAGGATAACATTTTAGCTAGTTTTCATTAAAATAATAAAGTATAAATGACTCATAAAAAATATTAATTAAAAAACAGAAGCGATAGAGAAAACAGATTTCATTGAAACTGAAAAAGGATATGTAAATCACAAAACCATTTCAATAACCAACTATTAGAAATATTCATGTTTAGTTAACCGCAGTAGTAAGTCTCTACTACCTGGATGTGAACAAATGCAGGGGACATCTGTGGTTCAATAAGTCTGACAACATGGCTGATTTTAGGAATTAAAATATGAGGACGTAGTTCTGGTTGTATTTCTGCAGCCAGTCGAAACTCGCAATAGCTGTGGGGTTTTTTGTGTGATAAACTTCCCGTTTATTTTGGTCATTTTGGTTTGACCAGCGCCATCAAGCTGTTGAATCAGCATCTCCGTGTGACGCATGGATTATTTTTGCAAAAAGTAGTTTAGCAAGTTCTGAATATTTTGTAAAATATATTCAAGTTCATTGACTTTTTGAAGATGCATCTTTAAAATTATGGAAGCAATTGTGACTCATATCTTAAATTCAAAAGCATAAGCAGAAATGCTTTTTCATTTCAAAGTCATGGCAGCACTATTTGACTCAAAAATAAAAATCAAAAGCAATATTCCAAAATGCATTTCATTTTCTTCTTCAAGACTGCTCATTCCATGACTAAATTAAAAAGAAAAAGCAAAACACATTGAACATTTAATTTTCAAAACATTCTCCAGCAAAAAAGGTATCAAAACTCAATTTGCAATGTCAAATTGAAAATGAAAAACCAAACTCAGAAATGCTTTTTCGTTTTCGTGCTCGCACCGCAAAAAGTGTCTCATAATTCAATCGGAGTTCGCCATCTCAAGTGGCGCCGGAAAGTGACGTCACGGACCCCACTCATTCTGGCCCCTTCTGGCCGATAGGGGGCAGTGAATCCGTGTATCATTGAATGAAATCAAACCGTGGATCGCGGCTATCTGTTTCATCACTGATCGATGGATTTGGGATATTTTGCAAATAAAGGGCCATAAACACAGTGCGAAACAGACAAAATGATCATAGAGATGCCTTAAAAATACATGGCACAGAGACAGAATCACTGCAGTCTCTGTCCATGTTAACCTGTGACTGTATGCAGATGTCAGCGGTGTGTCAGGTGTGCTGGTCCTTTTACTCACTCACTTACAGCACGGAGACTCACTTTCCGGCGCCACTTAAGATTGCGAACTCAGATTGAATTATGAGACGCTTTTTGAGGGGCGAGCACGAAAACGAAAAAGCATTTCTGAGTTTGGTTTTTCTTTTTAATTTTGTCACAGAATGAGCAGTCTTGAAGACGAAAATGAAATTGCATATTGGAATATTGCTTTTTATTTTTATTTTTGAGTCAAATTGTGCAGCAGTGACTTTGAAATGAAAAAGCATTTCTGCTAATGCTTTCTCATTTCCGAATTTGACATTTCAAATTGAATTTTGTTACCTTTTTGCTGGTGAATGTTTTGAAAATTAAATGTTAAATGTGTTTTGCTTTTGCTTTTTAATTTGGTCACAAAATGAGCAGTCTTGAAGAAGAAAATGAAATTGCATATTGGAATATTGCTTTTTATTTTTGAGTCAAATAGTGCAGCCATGACTTTGAAATGAAAAAGCATTTCTGCTAATGATTTTGAATTTGAGGTATGAGTCACAATCGCTTCCATATAAAATACCTTGGGTAGTTAATTGAGCAAAACGGTCAAAACTGACGCGAGAAACTTATGAAGTTGGCGCTGTGCTGCTAAATTAGAAAACATTTGCCGCATGGGCATTAAAGGTAAGGGGCCTTCTGCTGGGGCAGTGTATGTCAGGCGTACTGTATTGACAGAAAGCCAAAACACGAAGAACAGTAATTAGAATATGACTTTTTTTCATGCCGTCAGTCTCATCCTTGCAATTCTCTCTACGCAACAGATTGTCTTCAGAGAGGATTTCTCTGAGTTGTGCCTGAGCCAGAATCACTGTAGGTGTTCTTGTCAAAAGCCACCTGGCTGCACAATTCTTCCTATTGAAATAAAATTAGCAGGAGAAGAACATGTAATCTGCGGCCTTATGTCCTCGCACTCTCTTTATAGAAGTATTCACAGAATGGGCAACAAACAGTGGAGTGTCAAGTGAATACATAAATACTTTGCTTTCTTTAAAACTCTTTGTTAGTATTAGAAAGAGATTAAAATACAAAATTCAGTCTTTTTTGTTAATTTACATTTAATTAATTTTCTTAAGTTTTCTATGTGTGTTTTTTTTAAGCATATAATTAAAGAAATAATGAAATCCTTATTACCTCTTCTCTCACTGTACCCCAGGGATTCATCAGCCGATTTGTCTTGTTTATCTGATCTCATCTAGTTCCCTCTGTCTGTCCCAGCACAATCCAATCTGTTCCTATGCATTTTAATCTTCCTGTGTTTGTTCATTTATCCATGTTTCTAAAGTGCAGAATGAATATAAAAAGAAATAGACATTGTGTGGGGGAGATGATGTTCAGCTGCTGTTTTCAACTTATTAAATTGCTGCGTGTTGGGGTGTCACTGAAGTGCATGCTCTGTAGCTGTAACATCCAAGGTTCGGTTCAAACAAATCTCTCTCTGCTGAAAGTTTTTTATTATTTAACTTTTATATCTACCCTGCAAGCAGTTCTTAATTCAATCATTCAGAGAGTTCGGCTTGTCAGAGTGTAGCCTTCACTGCCTGCCTGCCTGCCTGCCTGCCTGCCTGCCTGTGTATCAGTCACAGTTAAACAATGCTGCTCTCTCTTTCATCTGCTCCTCTGCAGGTAGCTTCCGTTACTCCTGTGACATCTGTGGCAAGAAGTATAAATACTACAGCTGCTTCCAGGAGCACCGTGACCTGCATGCAGTGGATGGTAACCCAGAGTTTTGCAGAATTGACACTTGTTCTTTTTTTCTTTTCAGTCCTGAACTGGAAAGTCATGTATAACTGAACTTCCCATTTCACACTTTGCTCTCACTACAGAATTTCTATTTCTTGCTGAAGCAACTGAAGCCTAGTGGCATGCTAAAGAGGAATGGATCCAAAAAAAGAGAAAAAACCCTTCAGCCTTTATGAAAAACAAGAAGCCCCAAAATATGTATTAAATGAGCACAAGCTTGACTGCGAGGGTGTATATTTAACTCAATTGAAAGGCAATATCGGCTTGACAGTTCCAGGACCAATTTTACCTGAAGTCAGTCTGTGGTAAAGTGTTCAGACAGGCAGGTTCTCACTTCAGATGGGGTTGTTTAAAACCTGCTATCTTACACTAGAACATCACTCCTGGCAAAGTCATGAGAAAGACAGTAGAAGTATTAATATGTGTGATAACAGTGGCTACTGTCTGTAAGAAGACAGGAAAGACAGGTGCTTGGGTTTCCAAGTTTTTGTATTGCATGTTTTTTTTTTATCTTAAAGTATCATATTATTAGATAAATGATGGTTTTTAAACCAACCCCTATTTCAAAATAGTAAGGTTGCTGTTAAAGTATGGTGCAAAGTTAACATATCATGTGTTGAAACTGAAAAATGTGTTCTCATTTTAAATTTGATGCAAGCAACACATTTCAAAACAGCTGGGATAGTGGCATGTTTACTGTCGTGTTGCATCACCTCTTCTTTTAACAACACTCTGGTAATGTTGAGGAACCGAGGACATCAGTTTCCAGAGTTTTGAAAGAGTGTTTTTTACATTCTTACTTGATGTGAGAGTAGTTCAGGGTCCTCTTTGTTGTATTTTTTGTTTCATGATGCACCACATGACTAGTCAGCTTTGCAGGTGGGACAGTTGAGCACCGATACTCCTCTTCTCTACAGTAACCCATAGTGTAGTAATACCTGCAGGATTTAGTTTGGGATTGTAATGCCAGAGTATGCAAGGTGTACACTAAGAGAGGCGTTGTATAGATGACAGCATAAGCTGCTGCAAAAGCTTTTCATATTTTGTATATTTTTCTTTAATGGTATATTGTATAAAAATGGTACCTTATCAGATGTGTATGCTCCCAGTGCCGTGAGCACTTAAGTATCCCTATACCATCACTCTTATTGGCTTTTAAATTGTGCACTGATAAGAAGCCTGCAGCTCTCTCTTCTCTAAATTGGAGGGTGCAGCGTCCATCATTTTCATCTAGAGTATTGAATTTTGCTTTTTCAGACTGTACAACTTTTTCCTACTTTGGCTCAGCCATGACTTTGAAATGAAAAAGCATTTCTGCTAATGCTTTTGAATTTTCAATTTGACATTGCAAATTGAATTTTGTTACCTTTTTGCTGGTGAATGTTTTGAAAATTAAATGTTAAATGTGTTTTGCTTTTTCTTTTTAATTTAGTCACAGAATGAGAAGTCTTGAAGAAGAAAATGAAATAGCATTTTGGAATATTGCTTTTTATTTTTATTTTTGAGTCAAATAGTGCAGCCATGACTTTGAAATGAAAAAGCATTTCTGCTAATGCTTTTGAATTTGAGATATGAGTCACAATCGCTTCCATATTAAAGTCTCCAAGTAGATGGTTTTACCGTCATGAATTGGCATGAAGTTGCTTAAAGAAAAAAATATTCCTCCTTAATGTCATTAGTGATTAAATCCTAAAGTCGTTTCTTACCTTCCTCTGTTGTGGGTTATGAATACAGCAACTCTTCCTCCAGCTCTTTTCTTTCTATTTAAAAATGCTCGAGTGTACTGGGGCACATTGTAGAAGTCAACATTTTCACCAGAAAGCCAAGTTTCTGTTAATGCAATGACTGAGAATTCATGTTTTAGCGTTGACAGGAAATGTATAAATGGATTATTATTCTTCGGAAGGCTGCAAATGTTTCAGTGGATTCTAGACAAAAACATTGGGCTTATTGGATACATTACTGTTCAGCATGTGAAATTCCTCTTTGTTATAATATTTACATGTATTAGACTCTCTGTTAAATCCATTAAAAGGTTAGCATCAGGGTCATGTGAGTTGATACAGTCCATTTGTTATTTGTAGAGAATGAGTTGTTAGATTCTGTCATGAATTTACTCACACAGTCTCTCACAGAGTGGTGAACCTCTCCTTATATTTACTTCTGAAAGACTCAGCCTCTCTGGAGTCATGTTACCAACCTGTTGCGTGTTATTCTAATTAGTCAAGAGGTTTCCACTGGATGTTTTTTTAGCATTACACAACTTCTTCAGTGTTTTATTGTCCCTGTCCCAACTTGTTTGAAATGTGTAGCTGGCTTCAAATTTAAAATGTTTAAATTTTCACAGAACAGTGACATTGCCACATTTTATATGTTGTATTTGTACTATTCTAAACTAATTTGCAAATCATCACAATCTGATTTCAACATTTAGAGAGTCCCAACTCTTTTGGAGTTGGGGTTTGTTTTTTCATAGAGCTTCCATCCCTTATTTTGATAAGGTTGAGTTTTCGCTCAGTCTCTTCCTGCCATCTCTTCTTCCCTGTCTCTCTCAGATCCATATGAACAGGTAGTGTTACCTGTGGATGGCCTTAAAGAGGAGGAGCCTGTTGAACCCTACCAGAAAATTGGACCAAGTAAGACTGTCTGATGCACTTCTTTAGTTAGTGGCACACGTATTCAGAGCAAAGCAAACAAGTAAAGACCAATTAGGATTTTTGCACACATTGTTATTTTCTTGTGTTTGTTTTGTTGTATTGTTCAGGGAATATTTCGAGTGGCCAATCCTAATTTGAACTTTATCTGCTTGCTTGGCATTAACAATCTAAAACAGGTTTTTAGTTGCCTTCATTCCTTTGATTACTCTCAACATGCCATACAACTGGACATGCAAAGATCACCTGTGTCCGATCAAGTCAGGTCATTTTTATTCAGTCCATTGGGCACAATTTGTAATGAATGACCCTAAGTCATGGTTGTGATCCGTTTAGCTAAAACATAAGCTAAGCATATGAGCTAACTCCACACTGGAAAGGTTTCAGAACATGAGTCCAAAAGTCCTCCTTCGCAGGGGAAAAAGCACTCGCCCACCTCCGCAGAGACCGCGGGTTCAACCGACGGCAGCGGGTGTCCCTTCAAACACAATTGGCAGTGTTCGCAGGTGGGAAGCCTGCACTTGTCACTGCACTAATTACTCCTATTGATTGAGGGGGATAAAATGAACCTCCATGCACTATGCAGGGAGGCCCCTTGTTTTTTTTTTTTTTTCTGATACTGAGGCATTGCTAAACCTAAACTCTCAGAATGATCAGTTTGGAAAAGATCAAATCACCAGCTCCTTCTTCTCCTCCACCTCTTCTTTTCTGCTTCCTAGACATTATTAACCATCTGAAGCTGTCTAAGATTTTTACACAACTAATCCAACAAACTAGATCTTAACTGAATCAGCTCAGGTTTGTCTTGCAACATGAATTTACATGAAATTGCTGTTTTGATTGTGTGCTTTCTTGTCTGCAGAAACAGGGAGCTACGTTTGCGAGTACTGTGGGAAGCAGTACAAGTACTTCAATCCGTACCAGGAGCATGTTGCTCTGCACACACCAATGGGTGAGCCTGATATGTTAGTTATTAAACAATACTTTGGATTACAAGATAACAGACCTTCTTTGTATTGTAAAGTAATGTAAGAAGAGATATTTGAGCCTGTACAGAAATTCTACTGTATTAAAATACATCAGCGTTTTGGATTTTGTTTTTGTGTTTACAATGTCTTTGTGAGGATAAAATCAGTATTTTCATATCTGAAGTCACTGGTCTAAGGCAAAGCTTTGAGATTTAACTGATTCTTTGAATGTGTCTTTGATGTAGGCTCCTTTGATTTGAAGGCGTCACGGGTACCTGAATGTGGAAGCATTGATATGAGTAAATTTGGCCACAGCCCAGCTGCTAAGATAAAAAGTAAGCACCATTTCTTTTATCCAGCGTTTTTTTCAGTAGTTTGTTCCAGTGGGCAAGGTCTACATCCTTCACGATCTATATACTTCACACACTCAGAGCTTCTGCCTGCTAGAAGAAGCAGAAGCTGGTTTAAAATTGAACAGAAAGCCTCTATCTTATGCACCTTCAAAGCAGTTGTAGGGTTTTTCCCCCCCTCTGCCTGGGGCTGTTTATTACATTAAGGGATCATATTCTATGTCTTTTATTGCTGATGCAGAACTTGATTTCTTTCACATTGACTGAGGATGCCAAAATGACAAAGTGTGATCGTGTTTAAAAGACCAAAGGACATAATTGAGCGTAGATTGATAATGATACCAACCTTGATGACCATAATTGAAACACAAAACATCTATTTCCTTTACTGTTGATTAAAGCCTTTAAACTAATATCTTTAAAATGGTGGTTTTATTGTTGGTGCTCACAATACTGCAGAAGTGCAGCCTGTTTATGTGGCTGCTGACACAGAGAGGTTTGAGGGCAGGAACCGGCACAGTAATATCCCAGACCTGCTGTTAGGGTGTGTTAGAAATTCATAAGAGCATAGCTCACTATGACTGAAGCGTGTTACACTGAGCGAGTGGAAACAGGATTTAAGCGAACCACTAGAGATTGAGTTTAAGGTTCTGGGTCACCTTCCCGCTGTATTTGTGGCAACCTTGCAGGAAACGATCAACCTTTAGGGGATAGTAGCGGTAATTGCACAGTTGCATTGATAATGCATTATGAAATTTTTATTCTTATAAATGTTTTGAGCGCTCAATATGTTATCATGATAGAAAACACTGAAAAGTTTTCACAGTTACAAACAAATTTTCAGTTGGACAGAATAAAGTAAAATCAAATATAAGGACAAATGTCAATTTTTTCTCTAAGCCTTTAACACGTGACTTTTTCCCAGGCTATTTGATATCCTTGTGTCACTCAGAAAAAATTATTTAGGACAGCTGCAAAAGTTTTTTTACTAAGTGGTTCTGTATTTTGTGGTTCATGACACCCCCCCTCCATCTTTCTGCTAAGAAGAGCGCTGCCATAAAGAACTATTTAAAGCGTGGCACACTCACATGGTAGAAGTGGGTCAAAAAGATGGAATGAAGAGGAGGAATTAAGCCCATATTTAAATGTAATACGAACATTTGGATCCGTTCGTCAAGGCTGTTAGCTGGATTGATTTGCACGCTGCGAACTTGCTAAGATGAACAACTTGCATGTCTCAGACTAGTCACTGTTGTGTGAGGTCACATCTTCAATAAAGACTGAAATATAAACGCTATTAATCATTGGCTTGTCACTCATTGTTCCCTCTGTGTTTTCACTCACAGACAGCCCATTCAGGCGGAAGCTGGAAAGTGCAATTCAGTCTAGTCTGGTTGACACAAACAGCTCGCAGAACTCAAGCGGTGAGCACTGAGTCACTTACTTAATGTGGACGTTTGTGTACTTGTGAGGAAATGTATCATTTCTGCTTGAACGGTGAAAAGTATTTTCAGTTTCTTGGGCTGGCAACTGAGATGGAGGCGGAGTAGAGGATGTAAAGAGGTTTATATGACCTACCTTGCATCAACTGTTACTATATAAAACTCAGTCTAAGAGCTCCATTATTATTATTATTCCAGTCCATACTCAGACCCTGAAAATGGAGACCTTGTTGAATAACATGTTGAATCACCTTTGGCTCTGATAACAGCTGCCACAAATCAAAGCAGTGACCCAAAAATAGACTCGCAATTAAAGAGCCCGAAAACACACTTCTTTCAACACTCTTGTTACTGTTATGCTGTCCTACGTGAGCAAAAGACCCTGCAAAAGTTACACATCTGTTAAAGTGTTCCCGACTAGAACTCTCTGCTCTTGTCTTTCTGTCTCTGACATTCATTCCAGTTTGAAGTTTGTTGGGATTAAAGGTGAAGGGAGAGTATTTCCGTGCTCAGATTTGCTACTTTTGAATTACAATCTGATGATTGTGTGCTGTGAATTTGTCTTTTTGGCAGGTCTGGACAAAGAAAACACTCTTAACTGAAATAGAAACTGGTTTCCGAACACCTAAAAATAATACCTAAAGGATGTGAATATTTTCAGACCTAACCTCTACGCTTGTTGTCAAAAGTGTTTAAATATTTATTAAGAGTCCAAAATGGAAAACTCTGGGGCTGATTTTCTTCTGTCCTGTGATATTTGGTGCTAGAAGATAGCTAAAACAGTCAGTGCTAAAGACACAGAGGTAAAGGGAAAAAAAGGAGAGAAAGGAGCAACAGAGGCAGGCCCTCTGTGCCTGCAGTTTTAACTCTATTATCCTCTTGTCCTCAGGAACTCCGAGCCCTCTGGTGGCCAGCACCTTCACCACAGCCCAGAGTAAGTCCAACCCTACCTGCCTATCAAAACAGAAAATATGCATGTTTTTTCCTTCTTGTTTTACCCTTTCTTTTTGGAATGCCTCAGTTTTTGTTAATCTGTCATTGTTTGGTGAAAATAGCGTCTTTTAAAATATACAGCATGTACAGATTTTCCATATTTAGCTTCATTACAACACCAAAGCATAGGAAGACTTGCCACAAGATTTCCTTTTAGCGGACAAAGCGTGTTAAGAGGCTGCTAAAAGTCTTTTGAATTTTTTTTTTAGTTAAAGCTGTACACAACACGTATTTGTTTCCTGTCTTTGTTGGAGAAAATAGAATAGAAACTGTCGACATCTTTGGGGAAATTTAAATAAAAAAAGAGGCCTGACATTCAACAAAGTCCCAGGGTCAGATTCACACAAGTGGTTGTTATAACACAGTTAGTGCCTTAGGCTTCAAGGCCATGGTTGCTGTTACTGGCAGAGTAATAAACAACCGAATCACAGTTTGAAGTCAGTGTCGGAAACACAAATCACAGAAGCGAGAGACCTTTGGAATTGGTGGAAGTGACTTTCAGAGTTGCTGATAGAGTGATATAGATGTAGGGATGATAGATGCCACTCGATGGAAAGATTGGAAAGATGCACAGTGTATTTATTTGCTGCTCTGACAAAGAGTCAACACTCTTCTGGGCCTTGTGATCTTTTAGAACCCTACACTTGTGGTGCCTGTGGCATCCAGTTCCAGTTCTACAACAACCTGCTGGAGCACATGCAGTCCCACGCTGGTGAGTCCATGACTACTACTGCATGTTAAGCTCAGCAAAAGCAGACAAACGCAGGGAACAAATGTAGAGTGTGAGCACACCTGGAGTGGCTGCAATGCATGTGAAGGCCTTCGATCACAGTTTGTCCCAAGTGTTAATAATTAATTGAGATACAGACACAGATTCTTGCAGCTCCTGTTTGTTGAGTTCGAAGGAATATTACTAATGTAAGGATGGTTGTTGCAGATCTGGTTCTGAGGCTGCCGGGTAGGATTTTTCCTCAGTGCATCACACATATATAACCTTAGATCTGTATACGCTGGGTGTATTGTCACCTGATTGTTTAATCAAGTCTTCAATTAGTTAGTAAGCAAAACGCCAGAAACAACACCAATTCCAATTTAAGGCAACCGAAGCTGAAAGTCATGACAAAAATTACCAAAACAAAAAAAGTGTGCAACTACCCTTCTCCAAGAAGCTGTTACCACCAAATCTTAGTTATTTAACTTGAAAAATGAACTGAGTGCAGTTTGTTCATTCTCTATCGTTTACTTGGATTCTTGAGTTATCACCTGGGAGTCTTAAAATACTGTTACTCAGGCCTCAGCTATGAAAACAGAAAAACTTTGCACCTGTTAATAATAAATCAGTTTTTGCTGTTAAACATTTGCTCCAAAGCACCTCCTCTCAATGACACACCCTGATAGATGGATAGGAGTATGAAATAAGGAAATATCCCTGTTTAAATATGTCTTGTAAACTTGCATGGTTAATTTTAAATGCATTTTTATCAAATGTAGAAGCAGGCAGAGTAGTGTACTTTTTTTGTTCTTTTTGTTAAGTTGGTTTTCAACTTCTTAGTAACCTCTTAATAACTATTTGTTATTCTTCATATTTTTGCCAAAACATTCACAGTTTTCCCCTCTCTCTTACTCTGTATCTCTTCAGCTGACAATGAGAACCACACCAAAGGCGACTCTCCAAAAACCTCCTCTGTCTCTGGTCCTCAAGAGCCACTGTGGAGAGGTTCTCAGACTCAGGCCCCGGCCCCGGCCCATCCCTCAGTTAAACTACAAATCCAACCTCAAAGTATCACCCAGAGAAATCACACTGTCAGCCGTAAGCAGATTATTCAAATACCTGTGTGCACAGAATGCATAAAATAGTAATTGATTTGACTTCTTGAAATAACAAATGAATTTAATTTTCCTGTTTTTCAAATAGAAGAAAGTTTGTTTTTTTTTTTACTGTTTCTAATTATGTCCATGTCTGTCTTTCTCTCCATTCATCCACTGTTTTTCTTAACAGAGAATAATGGGCTACCTGAGAAGGAGAGACAGCAGGTGGCTGAGCGTCTCTTACGGGTAATGTGCTCAGATCTGAGCATGCTCAGTGTGCTCAACAGCAAGGACTTCCTGAAGTTGGCACAGACCCTGGTGGATACGGGTGCTCGTCATGGAGCCTACTCCACCCGTGATGCTTTCGGCAACATGAGTGCCTTGGCACTGCGCCAGCTGCCCCGCATGTACAACCAAGTCAAAGTCAAAGTCACATGTGCTCTGGGCTCCAACGCTTCTCTAGGCATCGCCGTCACCTGCCACTCCCAGAGCTCAGGTCCAGATGCCTGCTACGTGCTAACAGCCTATCAAGTGGAGGGGTCTAGGCTGAAGCGCTACGTGCTCGGTGTGAGGGAGGCCGAGCTGAGAGAGGGTCCTGAGCAGGTTCACCACTGGGTGCAGAATGTGCTGTCTGAGTTTGTGATGTCAGACATCCGTACCGTGTACGTCTCCGAGCCCAGAGTGTGGGCAGCGGGATTCGCAGGATCTCCTCTCAGCGGCGGCCGAGGCAGGATATGCCTGCGATGTGCAGGCTGTTCCCTCGGCGCTGTCGTCCAGGCCGTTCTCGGGAAGCGCAGCCTCCAAGCTCGAGGTCTTCACGAGTTAGCCGAGCTTCTCTCAACATGCAGAGATATCGCCTCCTCCTCCACGCTGGCCCTTCGTGAGGAACAGTACACCAACACATCCACAAGCACAACAGAGGAAGGTACACAGAGCAGCCCAGCACAATGCCCCACCCCACCATGCTGGGATCGCACGGCTGAAGCACTTTTGCAGGTTCATGCCCACTTTGAGCACATTTGTGAAGCATATGGCCGCAGCAAGGCCACGGCTCCACTCCTCCAAGGTCTCAACAAGCATCTGCTCGGTACGCTGGCCTGTCTGCTGGCTCCTCTGCGACTGGCAGCTCTTGAGCTGAGCAGCCAGAGGAGGCCCACCTTACAGCAGGTGCTGCCTGTCTACCTCCGCCTGGAGAAGTTTTTCACAGCCAAGGCCGGGGAGGCTGGAACTGGCACGGCTAGCAAACTCTGCCACTACTTCCTAGAAGCACTCAAGGAAAATTTCAAGGTACTGTGCTGATATTATTAGCTGTGCGTTTCTGCTTCGGGTGACACTGCATGAAAAACAGGAATGACTGAATGAGAAAGCACATCTGACCTGTCATGTAAAGGGATATTCTGGCGTAAAATTAATTTAGGGTCAATCATCTCTTCAAAGAAATGCAATCAGACTGTGACGCGAAGGCAGAAGAACTATTGCGTCTGCAGTGTAAAACGATTAATATGGTGATTATTACTTCAAGGAAATGATAAAGAAATGATCATAAATGTTCTTCCATGAGCTGCGTCACCCCGCTGTAGTCCGTAATGGACTGGCCGAGGTCTCGCTACAGACAAGCGGCTGCTGGAAGAGAGTAGGTGAGTTGTGTATAGTCTCTTTGCTAAAGAAATCAGGCAAAGTTAAAAAGATGTTTGGTGGCTAGTGCTATGGCTGGGACCCTATATGTTCTGTTGATGAAGTTAGGTGCTGTTCTGAGCATCATTTGTGGGTATAGAGTGGCGTTTTGGTTGAGGTGTGCGTGTGGATCCATAGACCGCTGTGTATTGCTACCGTGCGGTCATTACTAAAGTTGGTATAACTAGAGAAGCAAGTGGTCAGCAATATTCATCTCTTGAGGGGGTGTCTAACTCGGTGTTATGGTGTGTTTCACCCTAAATTAATTTTACGCCGGAATATCCCTTTAATGCTTTCATTTAGTACCTGGTGTCATAGTTCAGTCCTCAAGCTAAATGAAGACAGCCATGATATTAATTAATGTAATCGTAAACGTTTTTTCTATTTCCAGGTTGAACGAGCCCACCAGGTAGCCATGGTCCTGGACCCACAACTCAAGCTCCGTTCAGTGCCAGCCTACCAGCACGAAGACATCATTTCACGCGCTTGTGAAATGGCTGCTGAAAACAGAGATGGAGGTCTGTCCGGTGGTGGAGGTTCAGGTGGCGAAGACCGAGACACTGATGGCCCACCAACCCCCAAAATAAGCCGCATAGAGGGAGGGGGAAATAACGGCAGCACCTCGAGGGGAGGCTCTTCATCTTGCACCATGTCTGGTAACGGCGATAGTCCCAACCAAGTCAGACAAGAGATTTTTCAATACCTGGCTGAACCTCTTCTCCAAGGCACACCTGACCTCTTGCAGTACTGGAGCTCAGCGGTTGGGGAGAAGTTCCCCAAGTTGGCTCGCCTGGCTCTGTGGCTGCTCGCCGTGCCTGCTGTGGGCATCCGCAGCGAGTGTGTGACCGTGTGTGAGCAGAGCCTGGTGATGAAGAGGAGGCAGCAGGTAACCGCAGAGGAGATGAACAAACTTATTTTCCTGCGCTCCAACATGGGCTAGAAAAACCAACCCTAACCAACCAAACCTTCACCTCCAACCAATGACTGAAGACTATTATTTATATACTGTAGGTTTAGACTTACTGTAAACTTAAATGTGTTTGGAAACTAATATACTTCTCGAGACAAATACTTACAGGAAACTCACATTGTACAGGCCTCAATCACCCATGAAACAACACGGCTTATTCCATATTTTCGTACGGAGAAAGGACTGTTGTCAAGTAATGTGGAAAAAAGTAAGGGTGGAACGGTTGATCTCAGCGTGTCCTGTTTTGTATGCCTCCCACAGCTTGGGATGCACACATAAGCAGGATCAGTTTCAGTCATATCACGGCCAGTAGTTTGAATTACTCCAGCCTAAAGGCTACAACGCTGTTATTCTCTCTGGATGGCAACATATTCAGGTAAAGTTAGCTTTCACTGCTTGAAACTACTGTCATAAGCCTCTGGAAACAATCCTGCCAGACTATATTAAGAGATTTATAGCATTTAGTGACTGTTGGAGACAGTAAGCTGGGTAAAAAATGTTTTAGTTGGTGTATGACAAAAAATTCAAGTGGTGAATCCTCACTGCCAATGCACCTCTGACAATGAACTAAACCAGGTTTATGATTTTAATATCATGCATCACCACAACATATTTCAACATTTTCAGCCACAAGAAAAATCATCACATCCAAGTCGATGCTTGCTTCAGTGGCCTAAATATGTAGCTGTGCATCATTTGCATGCGCTGCTCGGCATGCATTTTTCATCCAAAGCAGCTGATAAAATATTAATGGTCATATGATGTTTCCCTTTTTGTTTATGTTACAAATAGGGGGGAAAAAAACTTGTCTTTCTGAACCAAACTTAAAAGGGTCTTTAGCTGCTAGTTATGCAAATCAGAAATCAGCTAGATTTGCAAGGAACTGCCAGTGTCATGCAGTTTGATAAGACAAAAAATCCAGCTTCGGTTTTTTGTTTTACTTTTTTCTGTTTTTTAATAGGAATGCACCAATCAAGACAATCAGGGTTGATATAAATATTGATGTCAAGATAAGAAACTCCGATAGCTGCTTCTAATAATGTTTTTTTTTCTTATTTATCGAAGTTTTTCTTATTTCTTACTAGTGATTCCCACATCTGGGCCACATGCTCAACTTAACCTCAATCACGAAAAACACTAGTAAACTTAGTAATGGGGCCTTAGTAATCCAGGCCTTTTAATATCTTTGAGTGGGAGTTTTTAAAGTGATGTGCTCTTAAGAAGACTGGTGATGGTGTTATTTTCCATCACGACGGCAGCAGGAAGGTGCAGTTGCTAAACTATAGTGTGCTGTGGTCAAAATAGCACATGATTAAAAAAAAAAAAAACTTTGAATTTTGGCCTCAATCTCTCCAGAATAAACATATTAATGCTGGAACTATTTTAAATCACAGATATGAATATGTAGATATGACATGCCCCTTTGAGCTGCGTGCCTACAGCGAGGCTTAGCTACCGGGGGCATCGTTTCCATTAAAAGCAATTCATGTTCATTAAAAATGAACCAAAACTTACTCATTTCTCAACCGATACAGAACATTTGGTTTAAAAACTTTGAAAAACAAATGTTTAATAAAATGTTCTGTATTAACAACATACATTTTGGTGTTGAAAATAAAGTAAACCGGGTGAAAATTGATTATAAAATAAATCATAACTTGCTCAATGTACATTAAATGTCCTTTTAATAGGAACGATGCCCACACCAATATGGCCGCCATGTTGGCACGTGGCTTAGCGGGCTGCTACTGTGTGAATCTAGTCTCCTATATATTTAAATATGTCTGTGGTTTCGGTGCTCAAAACACGGGGGAAAGCATTTCCACACAGCAACAAAACAAAATCAGGTAATATAAATAAATTAAAGTATATTTGTGAGTTATTACAACCCAGAAACAATCATATGTCATGACTGATTATTTATGCTATTTTGAGTAGTTTACTAAATCATTTCCAGCAAACAGATAGCTAAGCAGTAGTAATTGTGAAGTGGAGAACAAATTAAAAGTCATACTTAATATCGGCAGTCAGTGAATGCAAAGGTATTTTACCCGTAGGTGGAAATTGACAACAGGGTAAGCATTAACTTCTTCCATTACTGTATTTGTGCATCTCTATTGTTCACATTTACAAAAAGGGCAACATTATACTGCAGTCAGCTCTGAGGATTTCATTTACTGTCACTGACTTCAGCTAAAACAGGACAAAATATTTCATTGATGAAACACTTCTTACACCTCGAGGCCATACTGTCTGGTCTGATGTTGATTCAGGAATATCACAATGTCACATGCAGTCAAATTTAGGTTGCATCAATACTCTGTTTAAATACTGAATCATTTTTCCTTTACTTTCTCCAAAGTAAAGCAGCAGTAATATTATTATTATTAGCCATCAGTTTGTTAAGCTTGTAGGCAAGGATTTATTTCATAATTATTTCATAATTACATAAATCCTTGTGTGCTTTCCCACTGTGCTTGCGCTTGTGTTTTTGTTTTTAATGTTTCAAAGCTTAATTACAGAAGACTTATTCAAGGGAAAGTTATTATTTTATTTATTCTTCTCTCCTCACTTTTCATTTTACTACATACATTGTCTTCCTCATGTAAGCTTCAAATGTCCATTTTATAGGCAATAAGCTTTATCCTAGGGCATATTTTCCAACTTAATCTACAACAAATGACTGTTCACAACACTCCTACAGGTCATTATTAAAGGTTAACTTTTTTTTTCTTTCTGTTTGTGAAATGAACGGGATTTTCTCAGGAATGAGTGCACCCTAGCCGGCACCCACAACTCTTTTTCCTCACTGTACTGAAAAACACACCAAACTGTGACCTCAAAGCCGAGGTATGAACTGAATCGTGACTTTTTGTGAGACGTTCCACCCTGAACTCAGTTAGTGCCATTCGCAACAAACGAGAAATCAAAACAAACACATCACTGAGGGATTATTGTTTTATCAGGATGAAGCAAATTCTGCCAGTACATTCACTAAAGTCAACACATGCATACGAATGAAGTTACGTGGAGTTATTTATTTTTTTATGGATTGTAGTATACATTTACATGAGATGATACCTCCTCAAATGACTTGGATGAATGGAAATTATACTGTAAATGAGTTTGTTGCCTTTGGTACTAATCAGTTAAGTACTAGTTTGTCATCTCTGTTTTTGGGCCTTAAGTCTCTTAGGTCTTGTGATCACCTTAGATCCTTCAGTCAGAGCCGACCTCATGCCTTTTTATTATTATTATTAATGGCCTTCTTTCTCCATCTTTTCTGAAGCTTGTATTTATTTTGTTCTTTTTCACTCCAGTAGACACAAAGGGACTTAGGATTGATGGTGGGAAACAGTGTCCTCTGGTGGTCAAATGTAGTCACGGACACCTGTGGTATATGACTAATGCATTACTCTGAAGTTCCTAACCTTTGGAAAGACTGAATTAATTTAACATGTATGCTGTTTTTTTTTTTCTTTTTTCTTTTTTTTTTTTTGACTCATCTGCTGGTTGAAAAAAACAGGTCAGGAAATACTGCAACAACGAAATAACTCAAGCACAAGCACCCATGGTTTTTAAAAAAGTTGTATTCAAGTGTTTTATCCTTTAATAATGTCTGATTATACTCTCCCGGTTTTGGAAATCTACTATCCAATGTTGTTTGATATGTTTCTTAGATCAAGTACAACTTAGTATACAGTTGTGTTACACCTCTGCCTCAATCTCTCGTTCATTATAGGTCTCAACCTGTATGACAAACAATTTCAGGCATCCATAGCTACAGTTAATCAACACATTTGTTTCTTATTTATGTAGCAGGAAACCGCATCTAAAACAAGGAGGGGTATATCAAGAAGCAAGTTCAGAAGAAAATCTGCATCTGTGGGGCCTTGAGAGTTTTCAGTGTCACAAAGATATCTCTATTTTGACCAGGCTAGGGCACCTTTACTGTAAAATTTTAACTTGGACTGGGTTAAATTCAGACATTCTGCTTAAAATTAGCCTTCAAGTGACGTCTGTTCACTATTTGATAGCTGCTGATGTCCTCCAAGGATTTAATATGGAAAAAAAAACATTTGGATCCAAATCCACTTTGCTTTTATCAGGTCAAGTAATGAAACTATTTTCATGCAGTGTTGGAAATATTAGCAGTTCTTGACTATAACTACGTAGAAGTTAAGTATTAGAATTAACAGGAGGTATTGGGGGCATATTGGATGGTAAAATTGGTAAACCAAAGTTCAAATGAACACAGTTACTGATTTTTGCTTATGTATTATTTAGCCCCAAAATCTTGTCAAAGTTCATCATCAGCTCTTTAAGTAAGTTGCTGCAACATCTCTAAATGGAGCTGAATATCTTATATACAGAAATCCTGGGTTTGTTTGTTCTTGCTTCATAGTATACCCCCCAACCCCCACCCCCAGATCTGGAAAGTATTCAAAACAAAACATTGATCCAAGCTCTTGGAAACTTAACAAAGAAAGAGTTTGAGTTTGTCCCGTCCCGATAAGCTTTGGTGGCCAGTAGGAAGTTAAATGAGCAACAGGGACAGTTTGCTGTTAAGGACGCAGGAAGTAGCAAGTCAGTACACTGCATGTGTGACATTCAAGGGCATCTGAGGGAAAAATAACATTAAATGTTCAGTATAGTGCGAATCTCCAAAGCCCATCTTCGGTCTTACTGTGGACTTGGTCAACTTTTAAAAGGTCTAAACGCTTCATATTTTTGTACCTCCATTAAGAGTTTTTGTTAGTGTTCATAAATGCTTGCCTTCCCTGAGTGAGTAACTCAACACCACGCTGAGAAGAGTAACTATGACACCCCTTTAGTTTCACCTCTGCTCTCAGATACGTGCCCCGTTACGCCCCAGCGGTGATGTCACAGTGTCTCCCTGCAGCCAGGTGAGAAGTTCAACCACTTGAGGTCAGCAGAGTCACTTCTCCGGAGGGTGTTGAGAGACTCTATTAGGGATAAGTAATCATTTATGATCTTTGATTCTGTTCCAAGGTTCTGAAAGGAAACATAATTCAGGTTTTAGAGCGTCTGTAATTTTTCTTTATGGCGAGGGAAGATCGACTTAAGAAAGACGTTTCATTTCATGTGTGTTTTTTTTTTTTCTTTTTTTTTTGCATACCTGAATCAATCTGTCTACTGCTGTTTCAAACTGATTTATGTCACACATTTATATTTTGGTACAAAACTGAAAAATTGCTGTAAATGATATTTTAAATTTGATTTATTTTAGAGAACCAATCCAATGTTTTACCTCAGTACTCAGAAGGTAATATTGTTATTTAAAGATTGGAAATCAGCTGTTGATACAAATTTAAGCTTTAGTCAAAGATAGAGTCACAATACTGTACATCGGTTTGGAGTTTAAGCAGTGATGCTCAATTGAACTGATGAAGGGATTTTTTCTTACAGTTTTTAAATAAGTATTTTAAATAGAATATACTCTGGGACAAAAACGCCATTGTTGACACAACGATGTCAACTCAATTTTACTCAGAAATAGCGTTTTTTCTTTTCTGGATTTAATGAGATTATATCTAAGATATGCATGCTTTTAATAAGATTTATGATATATGAAGTTAGAGTCAACATGATTCACTTGCATCTGGTGAGAAACACTGGTTTATGAGTTACCTTCAAAAACACTCTTTTATCAGGAGTCAGATAAACAACCCGGGGCTGGGTTTGAACCTCTCGAGGTGGGAGTAGCGATGATGCTGATCATGGCGTTGGTGTTTCTGGGTTGACATCATCCATTTTCAGAGGATGTTTTCTGTAAATACAGGAGAACTGCTGTTTTTATGCCACAAGGGGGAGCCTTCATTTCAGAGATACAGTAGGGAACACCAATAACATTATACCTCTCTTTTCTACAGTAGCATTTCAAAAAGGTTTTGATATAATAGAAAACTCAACTTAGATACTGTTATAACTCAGCTGTAAGTTTTATTTTGTTTCAGGACTTTAACTTATTCAGATAATAATTGTAAAATATGGTATAAGAATGCTAACATGGAGATCTGTTCTGTTTTAACTATGGATTATAGTCTGTATTATCAATTCAGGTTAAGAAACTAGTGTTGCTTTCATCCTACTTTACAGGCATTACTTCCTTTTTATACTCTGCTAAAAATGCAAAAAATGTGTTTGATTCTCTTCTTTGTTTTTCGTCTTTTTTTATCGCACTTTGGCAGCAGATTCCTGTGTAGCTTCAGATCTGAGTTGTCTTATTAGTAAGCCTAATTTATACTTTTGTAGCAACACTATTTTTATATAACAGCAAAGAAAGGGTTCAGTGTCTGTTTCTTTCTTCTTCTTCTTCTTTTTTTTTTTGTTCCTGTGTCATAAGTGGCAGCGCTGTTCAATGTTTCTTGAATACATTACCCACTGTAGTATGTGATGTGTGAATAAACTCCAAATCTGTGTCAAAATGGGATGTGTATTTGCAGAAAGTGGAAGGATTGCATGATGTTTGTGGAAAAAGGGAAGCTCTGGGAAGTATTTAGGAGAAAAGAGTCAAGTTTTAGACTCCCTTTTCCTGCATTTTAGATAAAAACAGGCAGTGGGAGGAGTAAACTGTAAAGAAAGTCTCCCTCCATATGCATCCATTTTTGAAATCAAGAGAAAACTATGTTGGAAGAAAAAGTATTATCTTGTAAATTAAATCTTTGTGCTTACTTCTTAGTCTGAATGAAGAGCCGAGCTTTCCACAGCGGCTGTGAGCAGAGAGATGGAGGGCCTCAAACACATGTAGAGCGGGAAGAGGCCCTTTATGAGGGCAGAGCGATTGAAGACCCACACATGGGGAGTGAATATACAGAGGCTGCTTAGAGGTGCGTGCGAGGGTTCCCCAGGGAGCTACCGATAGGGCAAAGGAGTGAGTTAGGGAGGGCAAGAGAGGGAGCAAGTGTTCATCACAGCCTGCTGTCTTTTTTCCCTCCATTCGCACCCGGGTCAGTCACCCCCCAAAGGTGCAGCGGTCTGCAGCCAGGCAGAAAACCCCTTTTCCCCACGCTCTGTTCTTTTCTCTTCCTTCTAACACAAGGGGCTGCCTACCTAACCTAATTTGCAGCACATGCATCCAAGTTTGCCTGCCCCACCAACCCCCTCACACACACACACCACGCATACATACACAGTTTAACCCCCCTTTCCTCCACACCCCACTCCTGAAGGTGACGTTTTTCCACAAGCTATTACCACAGTGACGTGCTAAGTTTGTTTTGCTTACGGCAACAAGTGTGTGCGAGCTGTGGCCTCAATTTTCAGTCATTTAGAAACGCAAAGTTTGGGGAAAACAACCCCTCCCATCGGACAACTGCTTCCGCTTCATTCTGGATTTGGGGGAAAGTTGCAGGTCAGCTCTTTTTCAAGGAAAGTTAGGAGGAGTGTGGTGGGCTGTTCTGTAATTAAGACACATTCAAGCAATGCATGCAAACAGAAATAACACATCTTTAGTTTGATACTTTCATTTTGTTTTTGGCTAAATTAGAAATACGCATGAGACTGAGGCGACAAAGGGGTTCCCTGTCTGTACTGGCGTGTGAACACTAGGTGGCAGTATCAGGCTTTTTATCAGCTTCAAAGTGCCCACTATAAAGGCATTACAAAGATGATAAAGGTTAATCTTGTATTCAAACACTAACATACCTGAAATAATGTACATATTCAGGAGAAAAGTCTTATTAATGTCATTTTGAATTGAATCATCTTTGATTTGACACTTTGAATACAGGAAACACAGCCATGCTGTCACGCTCCAGGTAATCCAGGTTTGGGTGTTTCAGGAAAGGGGATATGTTAGGACAAGCGAGGACTTGTCAGGACAAGCAGGAGCCAGTCCAGTTAAAAGAAGCTGCTTTGGCTTAATATTTATGGTGATGTGGTTTTATCAACAGCATGATGGAGGATCAGTTCCAGCTTCTGATCTGTAGAGAAATCCAGAGCTGTCAAAGAAACCCTCTGCTGTGTTTAGCTCTTTCATATAAGCAATTAAAAAGATTCCACCTCTGTGAGTTGTTTTGCTCTCCCCAGTGAGACACATGTACCCATCAAGCTACATTCACAGAAACAGAGAAAGTTCTGTACACTTCCGTTTGCCCTTGGCGGTTACACAACCAGAAGAGAGGCATCCAGGTTTCGTTTTCCAGCCCAAATCAGGCACTGCCGTGCAGCTTTGCTCCCACCTCTGGCATTGACAAGGTTGGCACCTTCACCCCTGCCCAACCGACGCCCATCACAGCTGTCCCGACTTGTCTGCTCAGTGAGCATCGGAGGGACAGAGAAGGACAGGCAGGAAGGAAGTGTTCTCCACCTCCTCTCCTTGTCCTGTATGGAGGACCCCACGGCACCGGCACTGTAGTTTCTCCTGCTCAGCAGGTGCTGACTTTTATCAGTAGTGACATGAATGTACAGAACTGCCAGGGCGCATCCACCCAGTTGCTGTCAGGTGTCGTTCCTGCTAACACTCCACCTAGCCCCTGACCTCACAGGCACCCGGTGCGCCTGTCTGTTTGCCTGCCTGCTCTCTTCCTCTGCACACCTGCGCAGGCACACGTATATACAGATGCACGCACACAGCACTCTGACTCAGATTCAAGTCTTTTCCCACAGTGAGTTTAAAAGATTGAGTGTTTTTGGCTTTCCATGAACCTCTCAGAGCTGTTGGGTTTTGCCCAAAGGCAAATATGATGCAACACTGAGAAGCTGTGACACCTTTGTTCCCTTTTGAAACATTGATAAATTCATCATCGTTTTCAGTCATAATCAAGTTATATCTGAATAGTTCGCTGTGAAGTTTCATTAGTGGGAAACGCTGTGTCATATTTGTTTTTAATGTGGTGAAAAATGCAGATACAAACACTGGCATTAGTACCGTCTGTCTTACTATCTCCAGAAACTCTTACACGCGTCTTCCTCACAACTCCTAACAGTTTTTTCACCCCAGAAACTCTTTCAAGCGCTAAGATGCTTTTATGATAACTTAATCTTTATCTTGTCCAGGATGTAAACTTAACTTTAACTTTAAAACGAAAGTTTCTGAGAAAATTGAAACAAGGAGCAACAATTTGGAGTAGAAATCCCCAGTAATAATTCAGATTCTGCATCATTTTTCAAGTTGAGCACAACTCCAACAAAATACAGACTTCTTTTAGTGACATGTATGATGAGTGTCCAGGTTAATTTTTACTCTTCAAATGAACAAACACACAGGTTGGGGCAACATCCATCCTGAAACAAAGAGCATACAGTCTGTGAGGCTTGTGATGAGGAATTTCACTGCCTATTACAGTAGGCAGAGTGGTATTTGAATATTTCATATCGAAGCCAGAGTTATGAGATGACGGCGAAGTGTGAAAATATGGCTTGACTCTTGGCTTGTGGATGGCAAGGGTGGTCACTGTGAAAAAGGAGGTCAAGGTTAAATTTGCTCTGCGGATATAAATAGCCCCTTCAGCGACGTCCCCCTGATCTCACCGTTATTATTTATTAATCGTTGTCATGATCTGGGGAGAGTTTCCAGCCCCACCATGCAGTTTCACTCTGCTGTAGGAAATGACAAGAAGACGAATGCTAAACTTATATTTTAGACCCCTTACAATGAAACTCGTATTATGGGGTTTAGTGAAACAGGCCCCCATTTTTTTTTTTTTTCAAAGACGTAATTGCGCTTTTGTTAAACTGCCATATTCAGATTTGCTGACTCTGGTCTTTACAGCCACTGTGGTTATGTTCCTGACAAGACTCTGGCTTTTGTTAAGTACTTCTTTTCATTGAAATAACTTTTTCTATACTACAATTAATTTGCAGCCAGAAACCTAAAGCTTGACAAGTAACATTGCGCACACTAATACAACTGTTATTTGGCTTGGAAATTATTACAAATGTCAGAAGTTGAAAGTAATCATCTCCTTTGTCTTGGCTCATTATACAATCTGTTCCTCCTGTTGCCACTTTTTTACGCTCTCATGTTTTGTTCCACCTTCTCAATAATGTCTGCACAGTTTCCAGCCGCTCAATCAGTTCACTTCCTGTTTCACCTTTCTAACTTCTTTCCCTGCAAATGACTTGTTACTCACAGTCCCCTGGGCTGTGGTGACAGCTCACTAAGTTAAAACATATACCATGCACTTGTAACGTAGGGAATTTTAAACCCAGTTCATGACCTGTTTGTTCTTCCATTTCCTACTTTCCTTCCCTTTTTAGGTGGTATGTTTCACCCTGTTTAAAAGTAAAGGAGACCATAAAGTATCCTCATCTTCCTCAAAATTTGGCAAGATTTCAAACTCAGATTTTGTTTCGTTTTTTTCTTTAAAGCTCATCTATGTTTTCTATTTGAGTTTCTAAAATAGCCTAAAATTCATATTGATGCTTTTTAAGATGTCCAAAAGCAAAAAGACAGTTTATTTCGATATCCTGATTTTTAGTGCCTGAAACTGGTGTGTGGGGGTGTCATGAAGACAGCTGAAAGAACAGCCCCCTTATCTGAAATTACCCCCTTAAATATTCAAAATCCATTACACATTTGACTCTCAAAAGTGAGCGGGATGGGATTTTTTGGGTCTAAAGTCACTACTTGTTCATGCAAAGGGAGGGGGGGGGTTGACATTACGTGAAACAGGGTATCTGCAGGGTCTTAAACACTCTTAAGACATCTAAAATCCAACCATTTGAATTTCAGGCCTTAAAATGTATAAAATTCTCCTAAAACCTCATAAAATGTCTTACATACAACTTTGAAAGAAATGTATTAACTCTGCTTACAAATAAATAAAAAGCCATTGGAACAAAGATTGATTTGAAGTAATGTAAAATGTTCTGATTTTCTTTCATATCTGTTGTACTTTTTTTTGCCAGTATGAATGTTAAAGAAGTTTTAAATTGTAGTCGCTATGGTCTTTAAAAAGTCTTAAATTTGACTTGTTGAAACCTGCAGAGACCCCGTTGAAAGCTTCTCACAGGTGTTTTAAAAACAAATGATATTTCTTTTCCAACTTCAGGAATTGTCTGATTCTGAGCCATTAGCTTGAGCCTTGACCTAAACTTTAGGTCTTTTTTATCCAGTATCAGGAGTAATTTCAAAAAGATTTCACGCATCAAACACTTGTAATCTATCTTTACGTATTCAAATCTTTGTGTGTGTGTTCTTTCTATGTTGTCTATGTTTAAGTTGTTTATTTTTCCTGTCCTAATAGAGATTTTTTTCATACTATCAAAGTTAAAAGCATTGAGGTTTAAGTAGTTTTCCCAGTGACTTTCTCCTTCGAGCACTCAGCAGTGTCATCACTTTAAGTACATTATTCCTCCTGATTTTAGGGCATTACAGACCTTTTAAATCTGTTTTACTGCCATGTGTCATGACTGTGTTGTTAGGATATTGCCCTAAGTTTGTAAAGAATTATCTTTTACCACAGAAGAGACCGGGTCCGCTCGGCTTTTACACTTGGCCCTCTGCCAGTGAATGTCATGCGAGGCGTTGCTCTGGAGCTGAGGTAAAGAAAGTACATTTTTAATGATTTAGCATTGACTGCCTCTCTATTCTATATTCCATCATCTCATTTCCATGATTTGTAACTACTTGGTGGCTGGAATGATTCCTTTGGGAGAATAATTCCTTGGCACAGAGGCAGACACTCAATTGAAAATACACAGTGAGCAATTTTAATTTAAGAGGATACTGAAAAATGACCCATTTATTAAGCCTGTTTGATAATCAAAGTTAATGGATCATTTCAATTTTCTTAACTCTGCAAATGCTCAGAGGGAATGAAGGGACGCTGGCTGTGTCTTGTAGTTTGGATGTATGAAATTAGGTGATTTGTAATTAAATGGAAGCATGCTTTTTTAATCTTACAGCTCAATTGTTTGAATTATTGTGGAAAAAAAGCTGCTTTTCTCACTTCAAGGATTTGCACAGTGACTTGTATGAACTTTTATTGTTACTACTACTAAAAAAAGACAAGGATGGGGAGTGCATTAGTGCGTGGATGGAGGGTCTGGTCACGATGCAGCCAAAGATCTAAATCTCCAACAAGGTGTCTCAGGGTCTGGAGCAAACACAGAAGGGGCCCAAGGGCATTACAGGTGCATCACGATGACGCACACCACCCATCAATGTCCTAGTCCTTGACAATGTCATTCCAAACGAAGAGAAAAAGCAGCTTTTGGGATCTGTTCAGCGAAGCAGGCTTGTTTACAATCTCCCTTTTTCTTACTCGGTCTAATTCGTTCTGGCATTCGTGCTCCTCTCACTCTTTTGTTTTGATGCAAGCTGGTGTCTTATTGGTGGACGCCAAAAGACAAGTTGATTGATCAGGCCAGGGGGTATTGATCAAGCTGATCCTCTGCCATGACCCTTGACCTTCCGATTGACAGCAGCCCCTATAATGAGGCCTCAGAACAGAGAGCATTGCATAGGGGGTTTTGAGAAGGGCATCTGTGGGGAAAAAAAAAGGAAACCCAAGGGGATGGGTAGCGTATACGCACACACAGCCCAGCTCAATCAACTTGGTGCCATTGTTACATTGCAGTGCCCTCGATAACCCCAATTTGCATAATCGGCTTTTGCATTGTTTGGCCCAGACACATTAAGGTGCAGCATTGCATTGTTGACTGCAAATCAGCACGTGCTCATTGTTTGCTCATCTCAATGTAGCATTATGCATTGTTTACTTCTGCTGCAGCATGTGTTTTTCCGCTTACTGACTTTAGCATCTTGCTAAACGCATTATGTTTCCTCCCCCCCTGGCTGGAGTAAAATATACATCACATCTTACGCAACACTGCGCATCCAGAAAACATTGTTTACCCTCACCACAAAGCTATTAGATTATTTACGACACAGAAGAGCGCGTAAGGTATATATGTTCTTTACAAAGACGGCTGCATTTTGTTGAGCTTGTTTACCAAGCTCTTTCGAGACATTCTTGCCATTTTTCCCTTGGTTGTAGTTGCCAAAGGTCCACACCTCTTGACATTTGTATCTTTGTTTTTAAAGTCTGTACAAACACTTCTTCTAGTCTGGTTAAGACACACACCGTGTACCTAAAAACTAACTTTCCATCTGCGCTTACAGGTAAAACGCTGCTGCCATTTGTAATCCATCCAAATGCACCAAAAACACACAAATTGAGAACAGGGTAGCGACACTGGCGCCACTCTACCGATTTGATTCTTTATGAGCATTTGGCACATACTTTTCTTTTATTGTTGGGATGAATGCAAACATGCCCTGCCAATGGAACACACAAACCCAAAGACTTTGAGAAATAAGGCTTAAATCTTAATAGGTGTGAAGCTTTGATATGAGCTCGCAAAGCTCGTTGGAGTGAATGTTGACTTTGCTGACTAACTCTTGTGCAGGGCTGGCCAAGTTTATACAACAGCTCTTTATTTTGTTCAGATCATTCTAGCATCTACAGCTCAGTAGCATGTAGTTCTAATCACATTTGGTGTTTAAAAGTACACACTTGTGCAGAAGGTAGAGCTAAACTTTGGAGCAGCAATTAGTCTGCGTACGTAATGTCCCCCTTTTTTCCTTTCTTTTGTTATCATGTTGAAAAATGCTCGCCCTGACCTCCACTGAAGGTGTATTTGCATGAAACAAATTGTGCTGAGGCAAGCTCTGCAGCTGCATTACCTTCAGTTTCAAACCAGTTAAACTGTGGTGTAGGGTTGCTATCTGTATCTTTCATCTGCAGTGTTTGAGGTTTTCTCTCCATAGTGCCAAACAGTGATTCTGCCTGCTCTGTGGTCACTGCTGTCAAACACCATTCAGTCCTAAAAACGGCCACTGTTGCAGTCCCATGCAGTCACTGTGTAAGTGTATGCAAAAGACAGTCCAACAAAGTCTTGTAGTGTGGAGGACTTTCTTAGTGTCGTTTGATAAAATCTTGTCTTTTCCTTTGACAACTGTCCCTGCAACCCTTAAATCCAAATTTGTTATGTCAAACTGAAACAAGTAGTAATTGTGTTCATAATAAAAGGCTGTATTTTTATTTAAGTTTGAGAAAATATAAGACCATTGTAGATACTTCTCTTAACTGGTTTAAATCTGCTATGAAGAGTTTTTCAAGCTTCTATAAGAGGCTTTGCACATTAGTGAAAATGAATGAAATTCTTATTAAGGCCTTTTAACGACATAGAAAAGCACCGTCGGAGTCAAGACTGGTTATTTTGGAGTGAATGTTGACTTTGCTGACTAATACACAAAATTTTGTTTATTTACCATGAATTATTCAATATAAATGACATATTTTATTGATGGAAGTAAGCAGGATGAGATTTTTATCAAAAGAAACTATGAGGGCGCAGAGGCTGCTTTGTCCACAGGAGGCGCTACATTGAAAGTTCCTTACAGGAGCTTTAGGTAATTATGAAACAGACTGAAATCAACTTTTTTTAAGGCAATAAAAGAAAACTAGATCATTAGCATGAGGCTAACAGTATCCACACTGTCATTTTTAAAGCCATCATCAACCGTGAGGCGGTAGGCGTCAGACAATGCCCTAGGGAGAAAGTTATGACTGTGTTCACACGTGCAGCTCAATTTCATAATTTTCCAAACTCCTCTGCGGTTTTGCTTGCTTTTAGCTTTACTTGCCACCGCTCTAACTCCTGCGTGAATTAGCGAGCTGTTTGGCTG